AGCCATGGCTCAACTGCTAAAGGGACTAGGGGAACGTACTTGCCGACCAGGCAATTTCTAGTTATTTTTCTATCAACTACAAGTGCGGATAGTTGGGTCAGTGTTGCGTTTTCCTTGGAACATTGGCCACCAACTGGCCGGATTCTGGTGGCTTAAGACAGTCTTGCTGCTAAGAATAGCCACCCTGACTGACCCTGCCGTTGCTGTTACTGCCAGCACCACCAAATACAGGCTAACAGTAACAATTCAAGCCTTGGCTATTCGTCTAGCTACCGATGGGCCTATTCTTCTCTTATCCATCTGTCTGTCTGTGTCAGTGGCTATCAGTAACTATCCCATCTGCCCCTCATCACAGAACCTTCGTCATTCTGGCCAACCCGCCGGCTACCTGCCTAGTACCTGGCTGCCTACATCCAGCCAGCCTCCTGCTACTCCTCTTCTTCCTGCTTCTTCTCTCCTCCTTCTTTGTATCATCAACCACACATCATCGTCGTCCTACTCATTTCAATCTTTTTTGCCGTAATTCCCTCTGTCAATTCCCTCCCCTCCCCCTTCCCTCCACCTCTTTTCACTACACCCCCCTCCCCCCGTTTCCCTTTCCTTTCCCCTTCTACCCCTTCACACCCTTTGTTACACCCTCCCCTTGCTCCATTGACTTTTTTTTCCTTGGGCGGGCCGTTATCCTCACCTCAAGTTTCCCCCTCCCTCACACCATCTCACCTTGCTACACCTGTGTTTGTTCCCGGTTCCTTTTTTCCTTTTTTTCTTCTTTTTTTTTCTTTTTTTTCTTGGACCCTTTCCCTGTCGAGGCTGTACTCCAACAAAGAGCGGGAGCCAGATACAAAAAACGATCAAACAACCGCTCCTTCATCTGTGGCTTGTCCATCCGCCAATTGACCCTAGAAATCGCCACTCACGGCCTCGACGCGCCTCTCATCAACGGCTTTGTCAACAGTCTTTCGATCCTAGTTCCTGGCCAACTTGCAAGCTTGCAGTCCTTGACTCTGTCCCTCGTTTCCAGCACCGGGCCCGACCACAACGACCATCACCACTGCAAACGCAGCATAACAAACGTCAAACTCACCACTACTCGTTTACCTCCAGCTCCGTACTTCTTTGTTCCGCTCAGTCTCCTCAGAGCACCACTTGGCTGTGTGTTTGCTCTGCTTTGTTGACTTGGCTAGCTCGACACGCGTTCTTTGTCGCCGAGCTGCTCCAGTACCATACACTATCGACCCAGTCCTCGCCAATTGCCAATTCGCTTCTTCTTCATTGTCGGCGGCGCCGTGGGCGGCTTCTTTTCGTACCAAACGCTTGACCATCGTCAATCGGCCTCGTTCCTATCACGGAGCAGCCAGTGCATCCCGTCGCCATATTCGCCGACGTCCCCCCTCCCAGATTCCACCCCAGTTGTCCCCTCATCTCTCCCCGCGCCGCCTCCACCATCCACCCACGCCGCTCACGCTCGCGCTCACGCCGCCTGTCATCTCGCATTATCGCCCGATTCTGTCAGTGGACTGACTGGACTGCACCACACTCACCCACCTCGATTCATCCGCCTCCATCAACACCTTTGCTGGGCTTCTCTCCACACACCCTCCTATTCGTCTTCGCTCTTCTGCCGCCATTCCTCTCCACAGCTCGACCATAGTCTCCGCCTTCACCTACACACGCCTCGTGTCTTGTCGTGGTGTCTCTAGACGCCCCCCCACGGACCTCTCACACACTTCGCACATTACTGACTCGTCTTGAATCGCCTGCTCACGCGCCGCTATATTGGCTTCTCCGCTGCAAGAGCTTACGCTACTGGCCTATCTCGGGTAAATCGACTTGCCTCCCTACTCAGATCTGTTCTTCAACTGGTTTGTCAATCTCCATCGCCATCGTCCTCCGAGTCCTTCACCCGCCATGCCTAAGTGAGATTGGAATGCTCCATGCATAGACTTCCCACTTCCCTTCTGGTCCATCTCCGCTACTCTTCTTAAGCTGGCCGCCACATCCAGCTCGCCACTCGCTGCCTCACCGGTGGTGGATTGAGAAGCCTGAGAAAAAGAGACGCCGTTTGATGCAACTTGATCATACGACCCGTACGCCTTCCCTCCCATCCTTGCTGTCAATCCCCGGTCCTTCTTCCTTGATATAGATTGTATTTTTATCCAAGCCCAGTCTCTCCGCTTCTGTACTTGCTCTTCAGTTTCTACACATGTCCTAGCTTTGCTATTTATACTCTCCTTCCTTCTCTTGCCTTGCACACATTCTTCTTCTTTCTCCATCCTCTCCTTGTGCTTGTCTCACTGACAGTATGCTGACAATTCACAAGCATCCATTGCCGTCACATGGGTACAGGGCTGTCCATGACCTGCCGACACCGCCCTCCGGCATTACCTCTCCAGTCTCGACCTTTTCGTCGAGTACCTGCTTGAAGCCTCGACGACAGATTCCAACTCCTTCCATCATGTCGGCACCTCATCGTAGCCTCCCACCTCCCCCCGCCATGGCCATGACGCCTCATCAGGTCACAGCTCCCCATCCGTCGGCTCATCCTCCTTCACACCATCCTCCGCCTCCCCTCCACCACAGCCAACAGCCTCCCGCACCGTCTCATCATCATCACCAGCACCATCATAGAGATTCCTGGGGCGCTCCAACCCCGGCGCCTCCGCCTCCGCCTCCACCTCCACCTCCAGCCCCGGCGCCGGCCCCGACCCAGTCGCCTTTTCCACCCCCTCCGCAACACTGGTCTCATTCGGACGAGTCAATGCGGAATTGGCTGCTTGCTCGAACCGAAGAGGAGAAAACGAGACAAGAAGAGGAGAGAACAAGACAGGAGGGACTCCGTTTAGAACAGCGCAAGATCGAAATGGACATGCTACGCTCTTCTATCAACGGAGGCATCCCCCCTCCTATGATTCCTTTAGTCTTTACTGGCATGGCCAGCGGCGGCGTTCTACCCCAGGCTGCTTTAGACTGGGCTCATCAATTCATGGTTTCGCAACCGCAGTATCACCAACTGCCTCCTCCTCCGCCTCGACCGCTCTCGCCCGAATCTCAGCGTGAGGCCGCTGCTCAGGCCGCTGCTCAATACCTTCCGCCGCCCAATCTTCCGCCACCAGCCCATGCAAGCACATACACAAGCTACGCAACTTCGCCAACAAGAGCCCGGGGACAGACTATCTCCGGCCCAGCCGGTCGGCCCGCCGGCTCCAATATTTCGTCTACGGGATCAAATACCCCGCAATCTGGGGGACTTCAGCCAAGCACATCTACACTTGGCCCATTTCAGCCTCACCAGTCTGGTGGAGGGCAGTCAGGTCAGCATGACAGTACACTGTTCTTCCATCACTGGTACCCTCCCGGAACACAGCCAGGGCAGTCCTCCAGTGCAGCGAACAGGCCCAGTAGTCCTGCAGGCGAGTCACAAAAGAAGCGAAAAGCCGGAGCAGACTCCTCTCACCACAGTCGCACCAGCAGCACGCAGCGTCCACGATCGCCACCGTTTGCACAAAGCGATCATGGAGGAACCTCGGGCCGCAAGACGCATAAACGGCACAAAAGCGATGTGTCTTGGTATCACGGTCCACGGCATAGCATAGTCCCAAGCCGCGACCCGGGACACCGCGAAAGAACTCCTGCGCATGATAACTCTTCGACATCCTCCAAGGATCGAGAGGCACCCGACGGTAATAGACCAAAAAATTGAATTCAATCTTGCACGGCAACTAACAAGTGGAAGGAACTCGCCGCGATTCACAGCCAGAGACGCACCCACACCCTCGCCACGAGGATGATAGACAAGGCCGAGACCGAGAAAGAGAACGAGAACGAGAAGCTACCAGTGCCGCTGGCGAAAGGGCTCAATAGCACGCCCATTACTGTCACGAGTTTTATTTTGAAGCATACGCCATTCGTATACGACACGAATTTTATGAACATGTCACGTCGACAAGAACGAATTCTCTTTGTCACTTATGTCATTTAAGCATGGCCATGCGGGACATACAGTTGGATGCACATCTAATGCATATTCTCTGCAATGAATATGCAATTTCAGGCGATGCACTAGTATGCTGCCTTGGCCTTTTATGCAGCAAAAGGCCTCTTTTTCTTTGGACACAGCATTTTTGCTCGCATCTTCTTCATATTTTTTGCCTATTTTCTTTCGATATTTTTTCGTTTCATACGATGTCATTTACCTGTAATTGGTCCTGTTTCTCCTTCTATCGAGTGTGCGTTACCTTCCAAGCGGACGCCTCAACTCCTTTTCCCCTTCCTCGTTTGGGAAACGCTGCCACGTCTCTGTCATGACAGGACTGAATATCACCAGCTACTGAGGATGCGAGGGGCGATCCACGATGAAGAACGATGGCGTTTGGGATATGTAGATGACCAAAAAGTATATTGATTATAGGCGTGACGGCCTGGCCTCTTTACATCCCACGCAATTTTATCATGCATAGTGTGATGACCCTAGAGGCAATCGTGCAGAACTCTGGCCAATAAGTTCGTGTTGTGGATTGTATTTCGTTGTCCATCTGGTTTTGTCTCGATAGATTGGTACAAAAACGCCCTTGTTTCCCACCGTCCATGTCATCCTTGCTCCCCTAGGTAATAAAGTTGCCGTTTCTTCGCCACCCGCATCAACCCGTAAAGTTGCATGTGTACACCTCTTGACTGGCTCAAGAGAGGAGAAAACGAAGAAACAAAAGAAAAAGAAAAATGTGGGTATAGAGAAGAGTTCAACAAGGGAAAAGAAGAAGAAGAAAAGGGGGGATGCAGAGGATTAAGAAGAAACACGCTGCGAGTGTGGACTTTAAGAATAAAGGTATCATCTATCGTGACAATGAATCAAAAAGGGAGACCCGGAAACAAAAAAAAAAGGCATGGCATCTCTGCGCAGGAGGGGTATTTTTGAACGAACAAGAGGAGACAGCATCCGCCAGAAAAAAAAAGGAAAGGCAAAGGAGAAAAGAACAAAGGAAAAAGGGTACAGAGGAAAAGAATCATGACCGTTTCTTAAGCTGCGTCTTCCACTCGGCCCTCGTCACCTTCATCAGCAGATCCTCGTCCTTGATGGGGATCCACGCCGTCAGGGCCTTCATCGCATTTTCAAAGTCGGCGTCGAGGAGCACCTCGCGGAGGGCCTGGATGAGCGCCGCGCTCGTCGCGTGCAGCACGTCCAGCCCGCTGCTCGGCTTCGTCGTCGCAGCGGCCTCGCAAGTCGAGGTCAGCGGTGGCGTTGCTGGTTTTTCTTGAATCGACGGGAGGGACACCAGGCTGTTGGCGCTCGGCTTCGGCGTCAGGCGTGACGTGTCCGATTGCGGTGGATGTAGCTCGCCGCGGGCCGGGTCTCCGAGGAGCAGGAAGACGTCCCAGACGCGCAGCTGCGCGGCAAACGGGATGGAGAGGTTGAACAGGGTCAGGTACCAGCGGGTGCCGTAGGCGGTGCCGTCGATGCCCAGGTCAGCCATCTTGGCGGCCACATCGCGGTGCAGCCAGCGCGTCTCGAACTCGTGTAGCGCCGCCATGAGGCCCTGGAAGCCCGGAGGGCGATAGAGCCGCTCGAGCCCGCGCAGCCGCCACATGCGCACCAGCATCACAAAGCACTTTTCCTCGTCAAAGTAGCATAAAAGCGTGGCGGCCAGTGACGCCATGCCCTGCACATAGCCCGTTTCGGGAAAGTATAACGACAGCGCGTGCAGCACCCGGAACAGCAGCCGCTGCCCGCCTCTGTAGCGCCGTCGGAACATGACGTGTCGACTGATTGTCCGCGGCACGTCCAGGTCGATTTGGGTGTCGTCGGCCGACGCGCAGTCCTGCAGTCGGTGAAAGTCGGCCGTGATTTCGTCGTCCGTGGCGGATTCGGCATACTCCCTAGCAGATGTGGCGAGGAAGGACCACCAGGCGGCGGCGCGCCACCGGTCTGGGATGCCCTTCCACGTGCGCTCGATCAACTTCGGGTTCCGGGTGTCAAAGTCAAACTCCATGCCCTGCCCTTGGTCGCCATTGCGGATGACCCGCGCCATGCGCCGCCACTTTTCGGATCTTTCTATTTCCTTGCGCTTCAGTGCCTCCGAGATCTTTTCCACCTGCGCCTCCTCAACGCTGTCTTGTAGGTTCGGGGAGACCGTCAGCATGTCGCCAGCCTCGTCCATCCAGCGACGATTTCTATTCTGCGGGAGGAGGTTGCCGGCCTGGCGGAGAACGGAGCGTGAGGAGCGAAACGAGACGAGCGAAACCTCGGAGTGTTGCGTGTTGAGAGAGCGGGCCGAGACTTTGCGGCTGGGGAGGCGCACGCGGCCCTGGGATGAGGCGAAGCCCATCGGGTCGCGCTTGATGAGGACGTTGCGGCGACGAGGGGAACGGTGTTGTGAGCGCATCTCGGTTGGGGTTCCAACGCGCGACTGGCTGCGTGGGGTGCCGATGAAACCGTAGCGGTCGACCATATTGCTATCAAGATCGTCCCAGTCCTCGAAGCCGCCTGCAGGGTCGGTGGGTTCGCGGCGGGCAGTAGCATCATTAGACGAAGAGTTTACGGAATTTGGCACGGAAAATGAAGGTGCGAGAGTATTTCCGTTTCTGGGGAGACAAGAAGGAAGAGTCAGTAGTGTCCGAGACTGGAGAGGAAGCTGCCACAGCACCCGGGGCAGCCAAGGAGGTTTCATACGCAGCGGAATCGTCATCTTCAGTCAGGACCTCTGGGGTAGGCTCAAGGCGATCACAGTACGAGTGTCTGGAGGTATCGCGCAGGGAGGCAGGGGGCGATCCTGAGGCGTAAAGCTGCCTGACCTTTTGCGACTCTTGCTCGAGATCGGGGGTCATGATGCCAGGCATGTCGGGGGCTGGCGATGCGGCGCGGCGCGGCGCGCGAGCTTGCCCATCTGCAGCGGCGTAGCTGGTGGCCGACGAAGCAGGCCGAGGCACGGTGGCGACAGAGGAGTGCTGGGTGGGTGTCGCGCTTCGGTCGTCGTCGGTGATGGACATGCGGCCCATCGCGAGGATGTTGTCGGGGTCGATGTAGCTGCCGCGCTTAGAGAAGTGCATGGAGGTGATGTAAGAATCATCCAGCAGGCTCTCGGTGTCAATGGCAACGACCAGGGGCGAAAAGTCAGCGGCGGCGCTCTCGCGGTCAAGGTCAGGAGAAGGCGACGACATGGCCTGCGACGACGATCGGGAGGAGCTCCGCGCAGGGGACAAGGGTGGCTTTACCAGTGGCTGAAGCTTAGCGGAGGCTGGGGCTGCTGGGGTTGCAGCGGCGCCAGTAGCAGGGCGACGGCGAGCAGCAGAACCAGGAATAGTAATATCCGCAGCAAGTCTCGTATTACCAACAGCATCCGTCGAGGTGCCCCGCAGCTGGGAACCACTGTGACAACGTCGAAGGGCTCTCGGGGTGGTATTGTGCTGAGAGTGCGGCTGCGTGTTGTTGTTGCTGCTGGGTCTGGTAGTGGCGCTGTCGTCGCGGGAGCCGCCCCAGAGGGAGGAGATGTGGAGGCTTTGTCGCCTGAAGAGCTTCGGGCGGGACGACGCGCGGGACGAGGAGCGGGAGGGCGAGGGGGGCTGCGAAAGAGGAGCAGGAATAAAGTCGGACGCGGTGATGGCAGCAGAAACAGTGGGAGGAGGAAGCTTGTTGCGAGAGGAAGAAGAGGAGGAGGAGGAGGCAGTAGATGTGATGTGCAGATCGAGAGGAGCAATTATTGATGAAGGTGATGTTTTGGGGGCCCTAGCGGCTGCGGTGATTGTCGCAGGGCTTCCGTTAGTGGGTGCCGCCCCAGTGGCACAGGCGCTGCTGTTTTTAGAAGGAGCACCAGCGCCATAATAGGTGCCGCTTGTCGTGAGGCAGGCAGTGGCAGGCCGAGGCCGCACCTCGTTGGCAGGAAATAAACTTTGGCGGCGCGGTTTACCACTGCCGAAAGTAACAGGGCCCGCGCTCACAGACGACGCAGGGGGGGTCGCCGGAGACGATGTGGCGGCGGCGTGCTTGGACGTTGTCGGCTGCTGCCGCCACCGTTGCCGGCTCTCGACGAAACAATCGTCATGTTCGCTAAGACCGACTACGTTGAGGCGCTCCTCCTCGTGGATGGTATCTTTCATGATGGCGCTGCCGTGTCCCGAGTCGCGCTTCCGCTCGTCGAGCAGCGGTGCAGGCGAGCGCAGGGCCGGATGGAGCTCCGTCGGGGGCGGAACAGAAGGCAGGATTAGACGCATCGATGGCGCCGCAACGACGACGACGCTGCCGCCGTGGATGGAGGTGGCAGCGGTGCCGGCCAGCGAGACGGCGGAAACCGATGCCGTGCATGAGTTCGCCGAGGACGAGGTTGTTGTCGAGCTGGATGGTGACCGCTTCAGAGAAGGCTCCCGGGGCGGCAGCATGGTGGAGGCGCGCTTGATCGTGGGCTTGTACTGCACGGGGGGCTCAGCAGCAACGGTCTTCTCGTATCTGAAAGATCTGAAGGCGGCCAGGCTGCTGTCGTCGCGAGAGACTGGGGGCAGGACGGCGGCAGGCCTGCTGCTGGCCCTCATAGAGCTGAAGCGCGTCGGTGGTGACATGATGGTGATGACTACATGCGTGTCTAGCTTCTTCTTGCCGAGTTGTCCGTTGCGTGAGAGATTTTTGGGAATATTTTGACTATCAGCAGGTTGGTTCGGCGCCGACGTGTGTCGAATTGACAACTTGATTTTCTTTCCCAGATCGTCGTTGTATCGGCAGTGGCAGTGGCGCAAACAACGTCGTCAGTGGAGACGACCAAGTGTTGAGCTTCTGTGTAAACTGAACTCAACCGGAATGCGAAATCAGGTGTTGAAATTGGTCGTCAAAGGTTTCGGGACACTTTGCGTGTAAAGCAGGCCTGGCAAACGACACGTAGATTGAGCAAGCGAGCTGCAAGCGAGGTAGCTGGCTGAGATGCGTAGAAAGCGGTCTAGCTTTCTTTCTTCTTTAAATCGTAAGTGTCTTAAATCCTGATGGTCTGGTAGCCCGGTATCCCGATATCCTGGTTTCCGAGTATCCCACAGTTTTGCGGTGAGGAAGTCTGGCGATTTGTCCTGGCAGGTATGTGTTGTGTAAAGGTATTGCGTGGCGATGTACAAACGGCGACAATGGTAGGTTGTAGGTGTTTGTTTGGGGTAGCAACAAACGACCAGGAGGGGGGTTACCGAAGTTAATGTATGGGGAGGATGGGAAAGTCTTGTGAGGTTTGAGAAACGAGAGAGAGTAAGAAGAGAGAAACAACTCATACAGATGGGACAGACACACAAGCACAGAAGCACAAGCGCAAGCAGAGACACACATCTCATGACACTGACACCGTCACTGGCGCCCCAAAAAGAGCGGCCGCCCGGCAAGCAAAAACAGAGGGACCCTAGTTTAGGCTGCGAAGGAACTCACATGCACCTTGTCCATTCCCCATCGTAAGGTAGGCAGGCAGGGCACTTGCTGCAGAATCTCATGTACAAGCGGTACATCCGTTGACTTTGCTTATTTTTCTCAACCTCTTTTTTTTTGGCTTTTTTTTTTCTTTTCAGCAGAACTTGTTCCAGGCCTAGATTCTTACCAACCGCCCGAATGATTGGCACAACGCACAAACAGTGGGGAGGACTTGGCCCAGCTGGTGGAACAAGTTACAAGGGAGACATAAGGGACTTCCGCCGGCGTGTCGTCTTCTATGCCGCGTCAGGTACCCTCAGTCCCCAGTCCACCACTCTCTAACTCGCAGGTTTCACTCTTTCATCCCGTTTCTTCTCTTCTGCCGCCCTTCTCTTTGTTCTCACCACTACTCCGTGCTCATGACATCAAATCCCCCTCCCCCTTATCCAGCCTTCTCGCTGCAACCTGTTACAGGAACAGGAGACTCGACGCCTGCTATCTTCATGCAACTCCGTATTGCGCCAGATGTCCTGCTTGCCTGCCTGCCACCGTGACTTGTGTATCCGTCGTACGGACATCGGCGTCAGTCAAGACAAAGCACTGTACCAATTGACTCATCAAAAAGACCCAATTACTAAACTGTTCTAGTGCCAGGATGCGCTTCGTGCACCCGTTGACTATTCCCAAGCAGCCAAGCCAGCGCCACGCCCTGGTTGGCCAGTTCGATTTTTCTTAGCGGCCGGTCCCAGCAAACCCTAGGCATCTACAGAGACAACGCAGGATAACATGATAGCTCATCAGCCAGCAGCCCAATACATCTCTTGTCCAGCATGTACTTGCGTGTACCCTGCCAACGCAGACCAGCCCACCCATCGACGGCTGCAGTGACCATCGGGACAGGGCCGGCCTTGATACCCCTCCCGTCCTGCTGCAGACGGCAGAGAGGAAGAAAGAGTGTGGCTCCCCAGCCACGTCCAAGCCCACCCGCCTTCTGCGGTGTGCCGAACCTCCAGCTCGGCGGGCTGTTGATGGCATGAACGACTATTCTGGGCCCTGCTCCTAACTAATTGGCAATTCTTGTCCCGAGAACAAGGGATAATCCTCCGATGCTGTCCCCTACTTGTTGCCACGAGCCAGCTGTGTCGCCATGCCAGACACATCATCAACAAGACAAAGCGACTCCGGTTCTCGCTGGCAAAGTCAGATGCCATCGTGCAGTTGAACCAGGCAGCCAGCCAACGCTTCTACATTGGGCAACATAGCCATGTCCAATCCCAGCATGACAAGTCTAGCCTACTGCTACTGCAGGTACCGCTGGCCGACTAGTCACCGCCGCCACCACACCGCTGCCCGAAGTGGCCCAAGGTACATCTCTGTACACCGCACTTCGACAAACCTCTGCTTCTGCTTCTTCATCTGGATCCCGAGGCAAAAGCCCTAATGAGGGCTAAATCCCGCCATTCACAAGCAAAAACACTACTTTCACTTCTTTGTGCACTAATCATCACCGAGCGTAACAAAACGCACGTAGCTGCTCTTTCCATCGTGTCCATCGCGCACTGCCTTTTCACACGCAAGGTTTGCGCCCACGCCGGAAAATAAACCAAACTCAGGATGAACCTGGGCTACCGTCGAAAGTGGGGGGTCAAAAGAAAAACCATTGCCCTATAAAAAGAAAGTGCATGGCGTTGGTGTTGGCTCTGCCAGGGCCCTGGGTCGGCTGAATTATTTACTTCTGAGCCCGGTCTTCCGATCTTCACATCCACACTTTAGGTTATCACGGATAGTTGCATGTCACTTCTGGGGAAAAAAGAAACAAACTGGCAACTCTCAGCCTTTGCAATGTACAGATCGTCAACCACCACCCCAAAAACAACAAACATATTTACCGGCGCAACGTCTTTTGCCGTCCACGTAGCGGGGCCTCAGTGGCAGGAAGAATCTACCAAATCAGGGAGAGCGCGCGGCGAGCCTTGGCCAGTGATTGGTCATACGCAAGCTTCAACCGCTAATACATGGTGAGGGTGTGCTCATTTCTCGCTGCTGGCCAAGAAAATTAGGTCAACACCACACAAATCGCAGAAAGGTTCACGCCTAAAAACATAGTCTGGTTCGGTGCGGCGATGCTTCAGGCGGCCTCTGTCTGTATACGCGCAAGACGAGAGGAGGTCAGCTGCGCTTTAGTCTCAGCAGCTCTTGTCCGCGCAGCGTCGTGATCAGAAAATGTGCATGTTGAGCTCGCTACCATGGCGTCTGTGGCACCTCTAGACGCAACTTCCCTGTTGTTCATCAATGTCTCGTCTCGGGTCCCCCGCTGACCGCGTGGTATCACGCTGTGCGTCTGAGACTGGCGTAATGCGATGATCCAATACAACGAACGCCATCTCTGCATCTCAACAAAAATACATACTGGTGACTAACTATGTAGGCACGGGAGTTGACCTGCGTGTGCGTTGCAACGCTGCTTGCCTGCCTGCCTGGCACGTCCCGTCCCGTTCATCTTTATCTGCCTACCAGAGCCCGCACGGCTGACACGGGGCGGTGACATTGATTCTTCGACCTTGGGAAGAGGCTTCTCAACTTTTCTCCGCATGCAGAATACCACCAGTATCCCGGTGACCAGTCGGCGACCCGTCACTTCGTTCTTGGGTGCTGAAGTTGACTATCGTTCTGCACAACGGTTCTCGCAATGAGGGAAGCAGAGTGAGGGAAAGCGCCTTCCATTGAATTGATGGGGTTCCACAGATTCAACTTGGTCTACTTTTCTCGATCCAGTTACCAGCGCATCGTCGCTGGTTGATTGACAGCATACTAGTCAAATCCACTGTTCGTCCTTCCACTACTTCCTCGTCATGACTTGGACGGCGCATTGATTCTCTCGTAGCGACAATCATGTTGCTTCATCATTGGCACTTACATAAGTTAGTCTTTTGCTCCCCTACCTAGCTACCATTCGCAGATGGTACCTGGCGTGGTAGCGGGGGACCTCGCCCGCCCGTCGAAACTCCATTTACGTTACTACCCTGCACCGCATTGTGTTGATTTCTTCCTGCCTGAAACCATTGCGCACTGACGTTGTCGACTCAGCATGTTGGTTTTTTCAGAGGCCTCTTGTAGAGCAACCTCAACCAGAACTAGAGGCCCTCAGTTGCCTGTGTATCTACATACGTGTCACGTCAATGCAGCCTGTCTGCTATTTTCGCCACGGCCATCTACCGACAACACTTTTCACCAACTCACCACCGCCAGCCTTTCAGAGCCCTTGTCAATACGTTTGCAAGTCGACAGTGTTCCAGAACCGTTCCCTCCTGCAGCCACTTTAACTCGAGGCCCTCCTCCTGTGCCCTTTCCGTTGCGGGAACGGGTGGCGGGAACAACGAGCCCCAGCCCCGGCGGAACATTTTTGGTTGTGCGCCGTAAGAAGCCCCGTTTCGTCCAGGAACCCGAAGTTCCGCATGGACAGGGACATGACTCTTTCCAGGAACCGGAGCATGAAAAAAAAAAATTTACAGGACGGAAACCCAAGACGTCGGTAAATGCCGCTCAAGTTGTAAGGCGAAACCGCTTGATTGGGCATAGATAGTCCTTTCATTTAGTGCTTTTGTTGCCAAGTTTGCTAGCATCAACTTCGGGGTCACTGGTAACTCAAGGTACCCAACTACACAACGGCTTACGGTCCGCTCGGATGGTTCTATACCACGATGAGCAGGAAGTGTACCTCTTGGTACCGATCACTCAAGTTAGCAGACCACGCCGGTGCCAGCTAGTCGGTGCTCGTGGACAGCAGCGGATTACTATTTTCCATTGTTCCCATTGTTCTTTTTTACCCACACCACCCTCACGACAGACTTCCTATTCTAGCTTATTCCCTCCCCTGCAAACCGACCTCGACAGAGTTGGGGCACCCCTCTTGAGACGTGAGAAGGAGTTTAACCAGGCTCTTGGGTCAGGAACGCGGCTCGCGCTTTATGAGCGGCATTATTCCCATGTCACAGCCTGGGAGGTGGCTGTTATGCTTTCGTCGTTGCTCGCGACTACTGACTGTTGCATGTTCCCATCCAAAGCCCAAGACGGGGAAGTCGAATAGGTGGACTACTGAGGAAGTTTGATGCGCATCTCTTAACGTAGTTGATGAGATGTGACAAAAAAAAGAAAGGTACCAGTCTTAATATGCGGCGGCGCAAGGCCCCAAGGGTCCTGGACCTGGACGGCAGTGGCGGCCGTTCATGCCGAATCAAAGCATTGCCAACACACACACTCCTCCCGAGGGCATTACGAAGAACTCTGGCACCTTCCATGTCCATTCTCCGGTCCGGGCAGACCGTGCACAATTTTCCCTTTTTGCAGCGAGGATCAGGAGCTTCTTCTGCGGCTGCCGCACGCTGCAGTAAAGCATCTCACAACTGTGTCCGTGTACTGTTTCGCGTTCGACCGGCGCTTCTCCCATGTGCTGCTTCCCGTCCGTGCGTTGGTCATCGCGAAGCTGCTTCTTGCGGACAAAATGCCAAACCCGCGACTCTGACTGCCGTGTCAAGAAAGAGGGAGAGGCGCGATGGCAGGTACGTTTCACGGGTGCGTTCGGACCGGCCCTCGACGCCATGAAACCGGAGCAGCTTCCCGCCATTTAACCAGGTACCATTTCATTCACACTGCCCGCAACCATCTGTGTCATCTCAGCCTTGCGCGTCAAACCATCATGTTAATGTATTTTCTGTAAATAGTCATCTCCTTTTTCGGATACTCCCTAGCAGCTTTCCCCCGCGCCATCTCAAACCTCCTCGTTCTCCCAGTCCTTCTCCGCAAACATGGGGTCCTTGCGCCCGCCGCCGCTCGCCACCTCGAGCTTGTCCAGGAACTCGGGCGGCACCGTGGGTATGTACTTGCGTTCGCGCTCCCTGTTGACGCCGCCGAAGCCCGCCCCGTACGAGATGAGCATGTCCGTCACCGACGGCAGCGTGAACGGCAGCATCAGCGCCGGGTCCATCAGCAGATTCGGCGGCGCCTCGTCGTCGTCGTCATCCCAACCGTCCCCTCCGCCGTCGACGTCGTGGCCCCCGCGGGCCGGCGTGCTCTGAGCGGTCGAGGGCGACGCGCCCAGCCCGTTCTTGCCGCCGCTGTTCTTGACCGGCGTCGACGGCGCGCTCGTTTCCGGGCCGCCGCCCGTCTTGGGCAGCGGCGACGCGGCTCGGCTCCGCCGCCGGTCCCGTTTCAGCGCCGCCTCCTTCTGGATCTCTAGCAGGTACTTGGTCGCGCTTTTGGGCAGCCGCTTCTCGCCCACCTCGGCGCGATAATGCGTCGCCGCATGAATCAGCTGCTGCGGCGTCAGGCGTTTGAGCTGCTGCAGGGTCCCCACGAGCTCCTCCAGGTCGTCTTCGACCAGCGACGAGAAGCACTGCAGCCACTGCAGGAGCTGGATGACGGGCGCCAGGTGCCGCCGGCTTGCGCCTGCCGTCGTCTCGCCCGTCGACTTTGTCTCGCCCCCTTCGTAGTGCTCGGCCTGTCGGTTGTTGGTCCGAGCCCACTCTTCCAAAAGTGAAACGTTCATGCGAATCTGCATGGCCTTGGTCCTCGCCAAGTATTTCCTATTCGACATGACGCGGTTAAACAGCTCGGCCCCAATCCAGTACAGTAGTTGCGAAATGATTTGTGTCGTAATCACCGAGTGAATGTCGTACAGGTCCAGCACAAACACGGTGGAGGAGAGCAGCGATGTGACGTTACGCGGCGACGGTTTAGCTCTTTGCTTGGGCGAGGGTGGCCTATACCGCTTTTCCAGCGGCTCTTGTTTGACCGCAGTCTTTCGCTTAAACAGCTTCCACTCGTTTTGAAAGGTAATGTCCTCGAAGCCTGGGATCGTCTCGTGGTCCAACATGGCCGGATCCAACACCTTGTCCAGACGTCGCTCAGCGTCGCGCACGATGAGGATGAAAATCTCATTGATGAGGTCTGCCAGCTGTGTTTGAAATTCCGACGTTGCCTCTACTAGACCCGCATCCTTTTTGAGGTAGTGTAGCAGCAACGTCGCGTTGGAGATCCAGAAGGCTAGAATGGTCATGTCCCACTGGCACGCCTCGACCTTGTTGTTAATAAGGTCCATCGCGGAGACCAGCAATCGTTCCAAAAGCTCTGGGCTTGCGTGGTAATGTGCGTATCGCGCGCTGAGGAAAATCATATTTGCTGGAACCGGTTTTTGCGATGGCGATCGTTGCGGCGTCATCCTGGTTATAATGATGTCGAGTATGCGGTCGAGTTCGTGCTCTTGAAAAACAAACATTTGGTCGTGTAAACATCGCCCCCAGTCAAATTCCTGCTGCTCTTCTTCAAATTCTTCCGCGGGCTGTAGAGATTAGTAAATCAATGCTCACTAGGATGAAGGGAGCATATTCATTTGGGTACGAACCTCTGGTTGATCGTCCATGCCTACGTTTCCTAGGTCAACCTCTAGATCGCGCGCACTTTCCATCATGAGTCGGCGGCGCATCTCATTCTCAGCCATTTCTTCCTCAAACCGATCTTGAGAAAACCCGGGATTGTAAAAGTCGTCGCCCATTCCAGCGTTGCCAATATTATAACCGTTGTCATGGAGGTAAAAGGACATGTCGCTGTCGGGTGGCACAAAATCGAACGCTGTTCGGCCGGAGGAGGTTTTTTGGTCGGAGGAGGCGCCGCTGTCGAGCAGGAGCTTGGCAATATTCTTATGGCGATTCGTCATTGCCCACATCAGGGCGCTCCATTGGTTCTGGTCTTGCTTGTTGACGTCGACGCCTGCATCGATCAGAGCCTTGACCACGCCTTCGTGGCCCTATCCACAGTTAGCGTAACGAGCAGCAGAGCTTGGTGAGCGGTACGCACAAAGCAGCTTGCGTAGATGAGTGGCGGCGTGCCATCCTCGTCGGGCGCGTTGACATCGATGTACGCCTTGGCTTTGCCGGAAAGCATTCTTGTAATCTTGTCCACGTCGCCGTTGCTGGCGGCCATGGTGAGAGACTTTTGCAGGGCATCCTTCTTCTCGTCGTCGGAAATCTTGTCATTTTCAGCGATGGCGTTGTCGTCCTCGGCGCCGTGGCCCGCCTGTTGAGCGGCTGCTTGGGCGGCGAGCATCTCCATGAGGCGAGCGTCGCTGTCCTTGGGGCCCTTTGTGATGTCACCCTCGTAGTCGTTGTGGTTGAGGGAGAGGTTGGCAAAGTTGAGCGGCTTCGCGACGGCGGGTGTCGTGAGAAACTGGGATTCGCCTGGACAATCAATGCGCACGTTAGGAAGACAAGTCAGGGGGGGAGGGGAGGAAAATGTTTGGGCGGCCCGCCCCTGGGGCAGACGGGCGACTGACCTTGCCAGCCGTCGTAAATCTCCGTCTCGGGGACGATGTATTCCGTAGGGGCGTGGCGACGGTCGTTGAGGGAGGTCGGGAGGTCGGTCGGCATGGGACGCGGCGGGTGCTGCTCGCCGCGGTCGACAGGCGACGCCGTCGATTCCTCGGGATCCATGGTGCGGGAGAGGAGGGGAGGGGCAGCTCCGCCACTGCCGGACTCGCGTGAGGACTATGCGGCGAAGAGAAGAGTCATGCGCGCCTTTGCTCGTGAGAAAAGGGCACGGTCGGGATGCCAGTAGCGAAAAGCGGCTGCCAGCGTTGGAGCGGGAAGGGAAAGCCGCCTTGTGCGAGGTCGTGTGAGGAATGGAGATGGAGATGGAGATTCAAAGGAGCCCGAAGCGGATCACTACGTACTGCGTGGTGTGGCGGGGCGTCCAAGCCACAGCATCGTCATTGTGGCAGAACAGCGGGCGGGATAATAAACTACGAACATGACAACATGAATCATAGCGACAAGGTTGTGTTTAATTCATTTTAATGTAATCTGTAAATTTTATGCATACATGCCGGCGAGTTGCCTATTTTTTTTTTCTTTCTCACATCCTCGTCGTCTATATACTACGGATACTGTTTAGCACATCAGCATCGCAGACTTGGTACGTGCATACATACATACATACATACATACGGACAGGGTCACTAGGCCGATGCCTAGATGGCTCTGCGGCCAAACGCGCGCACGCGCTTGACGCCGCCGTCGGGGATCATGACGAGCTTGATGTGAGTGAATACGCTGTTCGTGTCAGCACAGGCAAACTCGTGCTCCAAGTCCGCGCTCGTCTTGCTCGGCGCCACCACCTCCTTCCACCCCGCGTCGTCCGCCGCCGGGCTCGCGCTCGCGCTGTGCATCGCCTCCAGGCGGACCTTTTGCGGGAAGTTGCCGCGGAAGTGCGCCGTGTCCACCACGAACTTGTCGACGCGGCCCGGCGCGCCCAGCTTGACTATCGTCCAGTCGACGTGGTCGCGCCCTCGCGAGCGCGCCGTCTCCCACCCGTCGCCCATGTCCTTGCCGCGGCCCGGCAGCAGCAGGTTGTCCTTGGTGCCGAAGTGCTGGTCGGAGCAGGCCACGGCGACGCCGCCGTTCTGCGCGGCCGCGAGGTCCAGCACGGCCTGCGGGTCGGCCGGGAACACGGGCACCGCGTGGCCGAACAGGCGGAAGCGCGCGATGCCGCCGTCCGCGTACATGTTGATGCGCACGTGCGTGTACCGCTCAGTCGTCGGCGCGTCGAGCTTCCATCCGAAGCGCGCCGAGGGGCCGCACTCGCGGATGCCGAGGATCGTCTGCCAGCCGCCGCGCGTGCCCTGCCAGGAGACGACCTCGTCGTCGTTGTCGCTGAAGCAGCCCTCGACGGAGACGAAGGGCGCGTAGTTGCCGGTGAAGAAGGCCGTGTCGACCTCGACGCCCGAGACGGTGCCGGAGGCGACGCCGAGGCGGATGACGACCCAGTCAAAGGGCTCCGGGTTGTGGCGGCGTGTCTCCCAGCCGTCGTACCAGGCGCCGGTGAAGACCATCTTGCCGGGCTGCGAGACGGGCGCGGTCGGGGTCAGCAGGTTGGAGGCTTCGGCGAACCACTGGTCGGAGAAGGCAAGGACCTTGCCGCCCAAGGTGGCCGAGATGAGGTCTGCACGGGTGGGTGTTAGTAGGGTGAGTGAGTAGGGTGGGTTGCGTAGACATACCAATGCATGTCGAGCGAAAAGTCTTGTCAATCTGGTCAGCAGGGACGACGGTGGTGGCGACGTCGTCGGTGATCTTGTAGCTGATCTCGTCAATGGTAGTAGCCATGGTGACTGCGGAGGAGGGGAAAGGGATGTAAGTGTCTTTGTGTGTAGGTTCAACTTAATGAGGGCTGGCTGTTCTTGGTGGTTCTGATTTGGGCTTTAGGATACCCCGCGATTTGATTTTTTTTTGGGCTCGGATGTTTTGCTCGCACGACTCAGCTTGTATGGAGCCCCTCCATCGTGTCGAGAAAATGACGGGCGAGGCTGTATTTAAACTGCGCGGCCTCTAAACTTTAGGCGTGCGACTTCGGGCCACTACGGAGGGGGACTGGTGGGGATCGGGGAGCTCCGACGCCGGGTCTCGGCCGGTGCCCAAGCCAAGCCAAGCTACGGGCAGAGGCTACGGGTTGAAACTGCAAAAAGTATAAAATGAAATGGCAGACTTTTGAAAGCTGTGCAATTTGGGCGAGGGCATTCTGCAGTGCGGGGGACTTTCGCCGGCCGTTCATATGCGCTTCACATGTAAGCTGTGTAGGTTCCTACCGTAATGCATGGTCATGCTTCACTCAGCGAACAAGGATACCCGCACCGATGACGGGCTTGGCTTTTGTTTCCGAGAGACCACTGCATACAAATACCTTGCAAGTCCAATCAAATGGAAAGAAAACGCATGAGAGAAATGAAGCTATCAGGTAATAACGCGCCTTTCGGCAAAATGGCAACACCAGCTTTACTCGATGGCTTGACGTAACGTCGGAGCCCACTCTTGGCAGGTGGGTCTGCCATTTAGGTTGAAGCATCCTGAAGGCGTTCATCCGCATGCCCGCCTGTCTATCACAGCTTGTACATCTCGACTTGATGCCAGAGTTGTACTCTACTTGTGGTGACTCCCAAGCCCTCGCAGTGAAGACCAATAGACAACATCCTTGAACTAGGGGAATACAAGCTTAACTTTGACTCACGAGTTGACAACTTATAACAGTTGGCCTCTTGGATAGAGGGCGCTCCTGCTGGCTGCCCGAAGTTGTACGTTATTAGCGCCATTGCTGCGCTGCTGGATGTGACTGCTGGATGTGACGAGAATCATCAACACTGTTAGAACACGATTTCTTTACAGTGTAAATCCATCTTTATATTGCCTAGCAAAGAGTTTTATAAATATACTTAAACATTTTACTAGAATAGGGCTACTTGTGGTTGCGCTTGACGACCTTTTTAGGCCGCATCTCATTCTTATACATGGAAAAGAACTCACTCGGCTCCGTTGGGTGCTCGCCAGTGACGTCGTGGAAGGCTGTCGTTGCAATGTAGTTTGTCTTACCCTCTCGTACTAGGCTGTAATACTCAAGAAGATACTGCTGCTCCGATTCATCAATGTCACTTTGAGCCGCGAGCACGCGCTTAGCTTCGGCCCTGTGAAGGCGGTTAGTTAAAGGGTGGGAGACGGCTAACAAAGCTCAACTCACTAAGAAATGTTCTCAAACTTGAGATCGACACCGAGCGCCTTGCTTGCTGCGGTTGCGAGTTCCTCACCGGCACATAACATTAGACCTATTATTATAATTAGACATTGCTCCCGGCAATAGGGTGCAGGTATCAGCCTTACCTATGACGACCATCATCTAGCCGCGATGCTAGTCATTGAAGCCGTGCTTGCCAGTCCCCGTCAGAACGTGGGCAGCAACATTCGCGACGTCCTATAACATTGAAGCTGTGAGCATGGCTTTCGCAGCGACTTTTTCTTTTTCCAAAACTGGACAATTCTCACGCACCCCAAGAGCCACCGGGGCGAATTTATGGCTGTTGCCGATAGGCAAGGGGAGTGTAGACTCCTCCTTAGCCTGCTTACTATAAAGCAGTAAGTTCTCAACGTAGAAGCCGGCCCTACCATACATTAAAAAGTTGATATAAATTCTGTGATTGTCTACCTAGTGGCAACAATACGTTAGCTTACCGGATGACGCAAGGCGAGCCCCCAGTTGGTGTACTAGCATCGCCTTTGCTCTGTAGCACAAGAGTCTCAAGATCAATGAATTCTCGCAGGCGCGGCTGTTTCTTAGCAGTAGCGTAGTCGCATCCAACGCTACTAATCAGACACACGTTCGGAATCTGCGCCTTCTTGGCCACTTCGACCAGCTCGACGCAGATGTCGTACTTGTCCTGATGCGCAGGTGGCACCAGGCAGATGGTGTCGCACCCAGTACTCTGCAGAGCCTTTGCTATTTCGCGCGCGCGTCCATGCTTATGCTGCACGATCAGCACGCCAAGGCTCTAGAGCTCTTGTGCTTTCTCGGACTTTTCATCCAGCGCGAGGCCGACGACGGCTTCGACCTTGCGAGAAAAGTCTCAGTGCTGCTGGATGAGTTCAGCAATAGCGAAACCAGTTTCACCGTCGACTGCTATGATGCAAATCTTACGCGGCATAGTACTATTTTCCTTTAGTATTCGTTTAAGAAAAGAAGGAAAGAGTCTTCATCTGCGATTTTTTATTCCCGCTTGCAGAAGTTTGATGGCAGATGACAGCAGAAGAATGACGCTCTATATTAAGCTGCTAAACTGTGTTTTGGGCTGTCGCTGTAGACAGAGTAGCAACAAGTCACAAGACATGCATCAACAAATAGCCATGTACATCATCTATGATGGGCCATTGTGATCGCATTGCTACATCATTAATGACGAGCCTAAACAAGCAGGAGGGCGCACAACTTATACTAGTAATATAAACCGAAGGATGTTCGCCTTTAGAATTAGCTTTGTAGATTAGGCTTCAACAAAGTTGCGGTTTCTACCAGCCAATCTACTAGTAGGCCAGTCCTGGACCTCCAGCGAAGTCTCACAAACAAGTCATACTACAAAACTTTTACCTGTGTTCTGCTGCGAGCAAAGTAAATCCTATTATTCCTTATAACATGACTATTTTGCCTACTCCTCATGGCTTAAAGCCCCTGGATTATGCGCAACTTTATGGCCATGCTGATCAATGAAAGCGGCCTGTTTACCACTCTTGGCTCAGTTTTGCGTTTGGGTTCTAGTCTAGATGATTACCTTGGGTGGGTTCTTCAGGCCAGCAGCCTCAGCCTCTTCTTCATTATGAATGAGTTGGCTGACATCGCCCTCACGACAGCCCCCGCGAATCGGCGTGAGGACGTGGTCTCCTACCTCGATTGGCTTGAAATTTTTATCTTTGAGTTCTTCAGGCATCGTAGGTAAAGGCTGATTCAGAGGTTTCTGGTGAGATGTTTCATCAAAATGGACTCCTTGTCCAGGCTGGTTGTTGAGACGTAAAAATAGACTGCTGGCGGGCTGAAATCGAGCACGTCAGAGTGTCGTTGAGCGAGTGCCATCATTCCGCTTGCCCCAGCGGACCCGAAAGTTTCTAGCAGCAATCCATGTATGGAGGTGCTGTGATTGACGAGGTATGCCAATCCAGTGCCAGATCCACAGGCCGCCTATATATTGCCACCCTGAGGTTTGTCATGGAGATTGAATGGTGATGGGATATGCCAAGGCAAGCTGAGCGCAGACCTCAAAACATTTCTTCCCAATGGTTCAGGATCGGTGAGAAGCTGTGCTACTATAGTAAGAGTATAACTGGAGAGGCATGTATATGTACAGACGTATCTAACAAAGTTTAATGTATTCAACACTGCTTCAAGTTTTTAATTCCGGCGTCTTACACATGAATTAGCTTTTCCACCTTCTGCCAGCCAAGATTGCCTCAAATGGTCAATCACATCCCCAACGAGGTAATCATCATTATCGCCTCATTTTTAAAAGCGGGAGAGATCTTCTCTCGCTCGCCTCCGTCAACAAACGGTTTTATTCTCTATTAGAAGCATTCAGATTCAGATACGATGTCGCGAATCACGGCAACAGCACGCTGGAGTGGGCATTATCTCATCGACGATTGATGGCTGCGCGAAAAGCCTTGCACGCAGGAGCGCAACTAGACAGCGAAGTACCTTCAATGCAAAAGGGTCTTTTGGAGAAGGCCGCGTTGTACAACTATAATGAGTTTGTCAAGTTGTTTATCCAAGTCCAAATCTCGAGATCTAATCGAGAGATATAAAATGGTAAAGCTGCGCTTCGCTGGGCTCTTATCCGCCACAAACAACAAAGAGCTCATCAGCATTCTACAAGACGGTCGCATTCTTGGCCCCCAAGGACGAAGCAGGCAGGGCTAATAAAGGTATTCAAATTATTTGCCACTTATTAGGCTAAAGCAGGCAATGCCTATTCATAATTTTTAATAGGAGCTTTAAGTATCATCTAATAGTAGGAAGAGGCTCTTCCCTTACTCCTTACTCAAAAGGCTGCCTACGTCTAATCTGCTCAAATAGTTGCTGATCGATTGCCCAAAGACGATGTAACGGGCAAGCCGCTTGAGCGGCGGCTGTGCCGCCGAGCTTCTAGAACCTTCCATTGATCGAAGCTATAGAAGTGCTGTTATGCTCTCATAAAGTTGATTCACTTTCTTTCCTCTTCATCTTGATAGAAAACAGCATAGGAACTAGATAGTTGAATCAACTTACTAGCGGCCTTTCACAACTTCTTGCATCAAGGTGTTATGATGATAGTTTGCGGGAAGCAACGAGAACGGCTCTGGTAGCGATAGCTGCTCTGTGGGCAAGCATCTCTCCGTGCTCTTCTGAATAGCCAGGTCGGCCATATCACAAAGACGAGGATGGCCTAGAATATCTGCGGCCGACAACTTCAGATCCATGTCCATAGCCCGTGCCGACAGAACCATGGCACTAATCGAGTCACCACCAAGCTGGAAAAAGTCGTCGTTCATCCCAATGTCGCCGCGATCCCGACCAAGCACATCTGCAACCAGCTGGTGTATTTTACTTTCTGACGTATTGGAAGGGGGCCTCATTCTAGATGAACAGAAGCCACGGTAGATGTTGAGCTCCCGTCGCAAAAGTGAGCACGCCTTGTCCTTGATAAGACGCCGGTCTACTTTGCCGGTAGGACCGAGGGGGAATTGCTTGAGGGGAACAAATAACGAAGGGATCATGAAAGGAGGTAGGCTCTTCCGTAGCGCCACTTCCGCGATCGATGCCCGAGATTGAAACTCTTCATCTGGGACGGCGAACATGGCAGACGTGGACAGCGTGCCTTGGTTGTTACTGGAGCGTTTCCCTGCAACATTGCTGGCATCCCAGATAAAAGCAGCAAGTAACCTCTGACTGTCTGAGTTCTCGGGGGCAATGATTTCCACAATGGCATCCGTTGTGGCAGGAAAATGCCGCGCAACTTGATGTTCAATCTCCGCAAGCTCCATTCTCTGCCCGCGAAGTTTGACCTGCCTGTCCTTCCGACCAACAAACTCTAGCGATCCGTCGCCGTCTGGACTGTACCGCATCAAGTCTCCAGTTCTGTATAGCCTGCCTGGTGACTCACTTCGTGGCATGGCACGCAACCACTTTGGCGGCGGAATGAAAGGCGAGCCGCCCAGATCCTCTCCCATGTACCCGCGGCCGACAATCGGGCCCTCAATCACCAACTCGCCAACCGCCCCAATGGCAACCAGCTTCTCTGGGTTGGCAGGCTCTACCAGCCAGCATGCGGAAGAAGCTGCCGATCCGATATTCACCGGATTGGCACCCGGTTGAGTCTTGGGCTGCACAGTGCAGTAGACCGTCCCCTCAGCAGGACCATATACGTAGACGAGCCGCACGGCGCCTGACCAAACCGTAAAGTCTATTCCCTTTGCAGACTCGCCACCAATCACCAAGGTGTTGAGATCTGGTACAGCGGAGGGTGTTAGAGTTCGGGCGACCGAAGGTGTCAGAAAAGTCCAGTTTGCTCTACGATCTCGTATGGCTTTGGCTAGGTTGTCCCGGCTGTCCGCTTCATTCGGGACGCATACGCAGCCGCCAAGGGCCAGTCCAAACACATAATCGGCAGCGGTGACGTCGAATGCATGGGATGCAAACTGAAAAATACGTGACTGGCGACCCAGATGGAAGTGCAGTCCAAGCGCGGTAACTTGGGTGGCGAAGGCTGAATGCTCGATAACGACGCCTTTCGGCGTTCCCGTTGACCCCGAGGTATACAGCGCACATAGGGCATTACTAGGGAGTGCTTGGATGGGATGATGCACTTGAGTAGTTAGCGAGGCTTGGTTTTCTCGACTGCTGTTCTCATCGACCTGGACGACGTGTTGACAGCCGAGCTTCGCCGCCAACGCAGCCATATCCTTGGAACATAGCAACACTGATGCTTGCGCATTCTTGCAAATCCACGCCAGCCGTTCGGTTGGGTGTGAAGGGTCCAACAGTATGAACGCGCTACCGGCTTTGGCGACTGCCAAGATGGCAACAGCGACCCATTTCGACTTTTCAAAGCAAAGAGGAACCATCATGTCTGGACCCAGTCGTTTCTCTCTAAGAACGGCTGAAAACAGTGACGACTGATCGTCGAGCTGCTTGTAGGTAAACTGACCATCCCATGCGTCAATCGCGCTAGCTTCTGGCTGCGCTACGCAATGGTCGTGAATCATGTCATGGATGCACCTCGGAACGGCTGGAGGCGCTGAAGAGTTCCAGCACTCGATTTGCTGCAAGTCATCTGTGCTGATACTGTCCATGTCGCCCACCAATTTATCCGGCGACAGTACTGTCTGCTTCAAGACATTGCCAAAAACTTGTAGAATCCGTCTCATTTGGGCCTTGGGCACCACCGTGGCATCGTAAACAGCCTCGAAACGGACGCATCTATCGGCGCCGGGGGTTGACAGAATCGTCAATGCGTATGTATTCCACATTGGCTGGGGCGTAAAAGCACCAGTATCACCGAAGATGCCAGATTTTTCGGCTGATGATTGACGCTGTTGAATGACGAGGAGGCTTTGGAACTTGCACGCCTTGGCCGCGTCGTCTCCAAGGCGACTGATGTTCTGTACCCCAAACTGTTCAAATTGTATCATCTCTATGATACGTTTCTGCAGCGTCTCCAGCTCCTCGTGAATTGATGAAGAGGACCTCAACTGAACCCTCAAGGGAAATGTTGCAATCGTGGGACCAGCAATCTTGTCAATCCCCGGCACGGGCGCTGCCCTGCCAGAAACCGTCAAGCCAAACACTACATCATTCACGCTGGTGTAAGCCATTAGAGTCATTGCCCACGCTAGCTGTATGCGCGTGGTGAGTGTTATATTTGCTGCCGTTGCAACACTTGGAGGGAGGCATATATGCTGGCTTTCGGATTCCGTGGTATTTGGGGAATGTGTGGGCGTTGGCAGAGCTGGAAACTGTTCGGCGCGTATCCCAGCAAACTCACTTCTCCAATGATCGGATGAATTTTTATTAGATTGGAGTACATATTTGACAAACTCCCTAAATGTTTGAAGGACTGGAACGTGGCCATGATACGTGTCGCTCACTTGGGTCTTCAGGATAGCCGCTGACCAGGCATCGTATATGCAGTGATGCATGGTAACGACGCAAAAGTTTGGCTCTCCGCTGGCGTTGGATATGATCGCCATTCGTACGAGCGGCGTACCCAGATTTACCGGCTTTGCCTCGTCGTCCGCCAGATATTTGGTCAAGTCATAGGCCATGTCAACAACCGCCTCGTCGCGAACCACGACTTGATACGTTGGGCCGTCACCAACAGATCGTATGACACGGGTTCTCAAGGCGGGGTTCGCGTCCAAGGTGGCTTTCCAAGCTGCTTCGAGCTTTCGAAAGCTAACGCCCTCTCTAAGCTTGTAGACACGTCGTGACACATACGAGCCTGGCCGTAGGGAGTTGAGAGCGACAAGGCCCTGTTGCATTGGTGTAGTTGGATAGATGTCCTCAATCTGAGTCGCCGGTAAAGCGTACTCCTTAGCTGCTGTTGCGAGAACAGCTTGCTTTTGGCTCTCTGTAATCAATTCAAACGCCGAGCATGTGTAACTCTGTTGCGTGTTTCCCTCCGTGGAGCCAATCAGCTTTGCCTGACTTGACAGTACTGGATTCGCAAAAATGTCCCCAAAGGTCAGACTAAGACCGAGGCCATGCGCGGCTGAGGCCAGCCTCATCGCCGCCAGCGAGTCGCCTCCCCGTCGGAAAAAGTCCTCGAATCTTCCGATGCTCGATTCAGCAGTGTTTAGCACCTGCGACCAGAGCGAACGGAGCTGCAGTTCTTGGGGTGTGCACGGGGCCTCGTGGCTGGCAACGGATCCCAGACATGCAGCTTCCTCCGAAGCCGTCATCTGGAAGAGAATTTCGCGCAGCTTTCTGCGATCAGTTTTGCCGGAGAGATTGAGTGGTATATGGGACACTATGACGACGACGGTTGGAATCATGTACCGGGGAACGACGCTGGCCAAACGAGTCCGAAATATCTGCAGGTAGACAGTGGCTCGGTCCAAGGGGCCGAGGAGAACAGTACCTCCCGTATCAAGTGACGTAGGGTTCATTCCGAGAAACGCTGTCAACTTGACATCCTCAGATATTGACGTGCGGCACACGTCCATAATCACATCGCAGACTTCCGTGTCTGAAATGTCTATCAGACAGCGCTGAACCTGCTGGAGCACGTCGTCCAGGTCAAGCCGCTGTCCGTATAGCTTGACTGAGTTGTCTTTTCGGCCAAGGTATCGGACGGATCCATCGTCAGCAAATTGTGCCAAGTCTCCTGTTTTGTAGAGCTCCCCATCGTATCCAGGCTGTAGTTTTCGCAGCCAGGCTACATCGTGAAGAAATGCAAGCGCGGTTCTCTCAGCATCAAGGTATCCGCGAGCCAGCACGGGACCTTGAATAACTAACTCACCAACAGCTCCCACAGGCACCAGCTTGTTATGGTCGCCGGTGTCGACGAGCCAGATGGATCTCCCGACTCTGTGGCCAACGTTCTTTCGGTCAGACGCGACCGTCGGGCTCCTCCTCACGCAGCAGAGGCTGACACTCTCAGCCTGACCATACGCGAACAAGAGATTCACTTTACCCTCCCATGTTGCAAGACCTTTGAGCGACATGGGCTCACTAGTCAGGAGCAGCGTCTTGAGCTCGGGGGTCATGCCTGGATCGAGGAGGGCTGCCACAGACGGGGTAAGGTTGGCCCAATTGACTTGGTACTCGGCAATGAATGTCTCGAGGTGGTTGAGCCGCTGCAGCTCAGACGGCATACAGACACACCCTCCGAACATGAGTGTGAGAAGAATGTCCCGGTGACGGATGATGCAAGGTGGCTTTGTGACCTTTCCAAGCCTGAGAGTTTGGCACCATCGCCCGTGCCTGGTTAGTTAGTTTCTTACTCGGCTTCCGAGGAAGACTGTTGATATTGATTGATGAAAATATTTCCCAAAAGGCTGGACAATGTCTAAGTGGTCTTGCGTTCAACCCCGAAAAATGTACAATGTAGCAGCGATTAGCAAATTGGTTTCTCCAGTACAAGCATCTGTCTCAGCAAGGGGATATCTTTCTCTCGTCAAGGCAGAGGGTGATTGACTCTATTTGCTCGAAATTCGGGCAGCCACCGTTCTGCTGGCTCTTCACGCCCGCCGCCGCCTACATCTCAGGCCCCCTGGTCTTGAACATGGCATCGAAGCGCTCTACAAGATCCTAGCTTGTTCTCGCAGACACTTGCTCGCCTCTTGCTTCGTCCTCTCCGCCGCAGCTGGCTCCATCGGCTGCACAAAGCGCCTCACCAAAATGGCATTCATGTCGAGCGTCGGCCTGTCCATTTTCTCCTGGTTCGACGAGCTAACAGCGGCAGAAAAGAAAAGATTAATTAAATACACAGAATCAACGGCGCATCTCGCCTTGACGTCAAAGGTAAAGTCCGTGGCCGACCTCCACCAGCTAGGCTCGAGCTTCAGATCCGTGCCGGGGAGCTGCCTCTGCAGCTGCGCCGTGCGCTCGTCGCCGGCCTTCTGAGCGTCGCTGCGAGCCTCCTTCTCCCGATTCACCATGTTTTTTTACAGCAATTTGCGGGTGTCTGTGGTATTTTTTTCTTTTCTTTTGAGCTGGTGATCTGCAAAGTGAAGGGGACGTTAAAGATAATGAGAGAAGGGGGGCAGCCAGAGGCCTTTTCTGAACCGGGGACTTTTGAGTAACTGCATGCATACATGCAGAATAAGTTACTTGTCGTCCACGCATGTATCTAGCACAGGACAAAGACGCCCGTCCAACCGCCAAAGACCCCCAAAACGTGGCTGAGAATATAAGCGCCCGGGTTATGCTTGTCACAGGTCGCACAAGCACTGCAAAAGGAACGAAGATGCAGTCAGTACTATTCTGTAGCCGCCTTCTAGCCGCCGGCACGTTTGCCAGAATCATGCAGCCGATGGTCTTCAACATTTTACTTTGCAAAGAACCTGTTTGTGCTGGGATGTCGTTGCAGCCACGGCTTCGTTCGACGAGATACCTTGTTCAACCTGCGCCTGCACGGAAAAACACCAAATGCATCACGGTATAGCTGTTGCCCTCGTCCGTCATGCCCGATGACGACAACAACAGCGATGAGGTTCTCGTCTACTTGCATTTCGACTCGGACGATTTCTCCGATTACCTCACGAGCCACTACCTCTTTCAAAAACCCAAGCCACCCGCCCGCGATGCGCAGTCCGCAGCGCGAGCGGCCAAGGCAGAGCCAGCTTCGCCTGGGAAACGCAAAACGCTCCGCCTGTGGTTTCGTCGTGACCGTCCCAAGGGAAAGAATGGCTTGCTAATTGGGAGCAGCTCTTCATGCCATATCATGCTGAACCATCCATTCATAGCAAAGTTCCACGGTACTTTGACCTTTGACGAGCATCATTGTCTTGTCTACAGGGACCTTGGGTCTCGACACGGTAGTTCCGTAACGTACCAGCCCGGCGGCTCCGAGGAGAACTCCGAGGTCGGCTCTGATCTCAGCGATCGGAGGCGGGACTTTACTTGGGTCGTCGGGGGGCCGGACGTTCCTGGAGGTGTCGTGATTTGCCTGGGAGGCAAGTACAGCATATCTCTCACCGTGCCATCGCGCGACTGGACCAGCGCAGGGCACCAGCGGTATGTTGACCGCTTCCTCGCTGCTACTCGTGGCGATGTCAAAGACCGGCAGCTACAGAATGAGATGAACTCAGAGTTGGTTCGACCCGGTCCCGCACGGCACAAGAATCCCGCTCTTCAGACACGGCCCTTGTTCCTCCCCGCCAGCCTTGGCAGAGTCGCTGGTGAATGGAACGTCAGCACTGCAAGGTTTCGGGTGGTCAAATCAGTCAAATACAGTGAACGTCAAGAATTGAAGAATTGGGGCAAGGAGGTCCTGATTTGGAACGATTTGAAACACGCAAGTCACCCTCTCTCTGTCCTTGCCCCGGTAAACCAGGCTTATGGTGACTCTGACTGACCTTTTCCGCTTCAACAGCCCAACATAACGCAATGTCTAGAGGTCAACTTGACCGTTTTCAATCTCTTTCTGCGACCCAGTCTAGCGTTGCACGAAGGGGTGACCCCCAGCATCTATTTGGAATATGCGCCGTACGGCAGTCTCGAGCATCTCGAGTCGAGCCTACAGTATGAGCAAGCCGTCTCCGTGACGTACCAGTGCCTCGACGCGCTCACCTACATGCACGAGCGCAACCTGGCGCACCGGAGCATCAAGCCGTCCAATATCCTCATCTCCGCGCTGGATCCGATCCGCGTCAAGCTGACCGACTTTGGCGCCGCCACCGTCAGCGACCGCTGCGCGAGCATCCGCGGAAGCGCACCCTGGTTCGCGCCCGAGATGCACGCGGCGATCGACGCCAACGGAAACAGGAAGCGACGCGGCGCGAACGGAGAGAAAATCACATTCGACAGCAACGGAAAGCGGGCAGCAAGGAAGATGAAGCCCCTCGAGTACGGCGCTGCAGTCGACATATGGGCGCTCGGCGTCGTCGCCATGGACCTGGCCTGGCCAGGCAACCTCCCCGGCCCCGGCGCGCACTCACCCGCCGCCCCGCGCTGGAAGTTGATTTGCGACGCGCTCGCGACGAGCCTGAGCAAAGCCATTGCAAAAAGCCGGTGGCTCACGTTCATCAAGAACAAGATGCTGGTCTCCGGGCCGTCAGAGAGACGATCGGCCAGGGCCTGCTTGCAAGAAGTGGAAGCGCTTCATAGGCCATCCGTGCGCAAAGAGGGGCCGGTCAAAGATGCCGCCCCCAAGCCACCAGATAGACAACCGCCGGCTGAAGCCTGCTTGCGAGAAGCGGAAGCGGCCCAGGGGCGATCCGCGGGGCCGGTAAAAGAAGCCGCCTCCAACCCACCAGATAGACAATCATCGGCCGAGGCCTGCTTGCAAGAAGTGGAGGTTCTTCAGGGGCAATCCGAGCCCAAGACAATGCCGGTGAAAGGCACCGCCGTCTCCGAGCCATCCGAAAACTACGTGGCCGGGGCCAGCGGCGCCGGGACCGGCGAGCCCGAAGCCGTCGTGGTGACAGTGGCTGAACAGCCCCCTGCTCCCCCGGCCATCACGCTACATTACAAGGTAGACTGGGAAGGCGATTTGGTCATGACAGGGATGGCTTTCTCGACCATCACGCTGTCCTGGATGGTCGACGGGGATGGGGACGTGCTCATGACGGATGCGCCGCGTCCAGGCTAGTCTCGGCCGTCTGCGCGCAGCAGTGCTTTCCGGGCTTGAGGCGAGGGCGAGGGAGCGTGCAAAGGGGAATCAGCTTTGGGAGTGATATGCTCCATTCAGCTGGTATAGTCGACGCTCCGCGATCGAGACTTGTCTCGGGGGTGTATGGTTGTGTAATAGTAGATCCTGGTAGCTGATTGGGGAGCTTGAGACTGACGTGTAAACTCATTTTTTTTTTCAGTTCATTTTTCCTGACGCATGTACTTGACGTCCATCTCAGGCATATAGATGTACAAAAAGTCATTTGCTTTGTTAGTTTTTGCCATTGCTTTGTATAGTGTAACGGTCAACGTGCCCTCGCCTCCACCGCTATATTCCTGGAACTCAAGTACAGCGTCTCGACGGCACAGCTTGAATAATATTTCATTCAAAATTTTAAATTGAGAGAGAGTTTCTGTTTCTTTTGACTGGCCTTCTTTTTTCAGGTTTCCGCGTTATCGATCAAAGACTTTGCTGCTAGTACGCGCGACCCCAGAGCCTTACAGATCTCTCACATGTCGCTTAATGTCCTTGTCAGCACCCAGCCACAGGAGATCCGGCCGACTGTAGTGGCCGCAAACGTCTATAAACGCTCGCGCCTTGAGAATGTCATTTAGGTCAATCGTGGCGTAAACAATGCCCTCCTCGTGCTCCGGAATGTCCGTCGTCAACTTCTTCCCGTCCGGCCCGAAGACGCACGAGTTTCCACCGCCGGGCGTGCTCATCAGCGCTCCCCGCGGGAGGGACATCAGCTCAATGCCAGACGGGCCGATGACTGATGTCGTGTGCAGCACGAACGACTGCGACTCCATCGCGTAGACCTGCGCGATGGCGGCTATACCTAGCGAAATTTGATGAGCGCCTCCGCTGCCGATTCAAGTTTCGTCCTGAGATCTTACCTCTTCCGGACATGGACTCTAGACAGCCTTCGGGCACATCGGCGTGCACGGGCGGCCACGAGGCAACGTGAATCTGCTCCCGTTGCGCATACATGTGGTACTTGAGCAGCGGCTGGAGGTGCTCCCAGCAGTTGAGCGCGCCGACCCTCCCGGCCGCCGTGTCCGCCACGCCCGCCAGGCAGTCGCCGCGCGAGTCCCCGAAGATGGTGCGCTCCATGTGCGTCGGCTTCATCTTGCTGCGCGTGACGCGGACCTGCCCGTCGGCGTCGATGACCGCCTGCGACATGTACAGCGACTCGTGGACGTTCTCGGAGAAGCCGAGCACGACGACGATGCCGTGCTCGGCGGCGCACTGGGTGATGCACTCGGCCTGCGGGGAGCCGAGCTTGAGCGAGTTCTGAATGTAGCGGGTGGTGAGTTCCGGGTCCATGTTCCGTGACCTGCGCGCACAGTTAGAAGATGACCGACGGGGTGCGAGTATCGACTGCGTGAACGGGTGGCTGTACCAGATCCAGGCGGGGTAGCCGGGGATCCAAACTTCGGGGAATGTGATGATCTTGGCGCCATTCTTTGCGGCCTCCGCGATGAGCTTGCAGGTCTTGTCAACGGTGGCCTCGAGGTCCAGCCACACCGGCTCTGCCTGCGTGACGGCGATGGTGATTTTAGACGAAGGCGACGACGTAGAAACCATGGCGGAATTTGAAAGTCTTTCGGTAGAGTTGAATGGACAAGAGTACGATCATCTGCGGGGAGAGATACTGATGCATCTAATATACCTTGCATTGGGTGGGTGGTGGACGCCCCCTCCCTGCAACATCAAGCCATTTGTCGTACGACACGGGCATTGCCGATGCTGTGCAGCTCATCGGCAGTCAGTGTTGCGTGGAGAATCCTTGCTCGCCTGTGCACTTGGTTCTTTGTCCGAGAGCAAGGGGTGGAAACAATGGGCGGAAATGGAAGCCGAAGCAGAAGCTTATAAGCAAAAGTTGGGGCTAGGAAGCGGACCGAGAACCGCTAGTCGTACCGAGACTCCGCAATGCGGCCGTCGAGTCAGTGCCAATATGTTGCCGAATAAACTAGTTGATTTACGCGAGATGATAGATTCGATCCAAGGTATATAAATATAATAGCGGGTGGATGTGTCCGTGTCTGGAGTTGTCAAGCTCACTGAGAGTCGCCTCGGCACTTGTATCCGACGGGGTGCGGATCGAAGCTCATACTTGATGACCTTGACAATCATCATGGGGCGTACGATGCATTTCTGCATCCACACTTACCTCACCCCTCGAAATGACCGACAAGGCTACAGAGTGAAAGGCCCCAGCCGCTGCAGATCGTGACGCCATATCCAGCCATGGCCCCCCCGCCAGGCAACAGCCACCAGCCATGCCGCAGCGCCGGCGCATCAACCCGAGAAGTGAGTAAAATCGGAAATCAGCACACCAATTGGAACACGATAATTCAGATTCCTCGTTTTCCTCGGGCTTTGGCTTGGTGTGACTGTTGAGCCACCACCTCGTTTTGCAGGGCAGCCGGGAGCTGTCGCGGCGGCGGCTGCAGTGTTGCATTGGGCTGATTTCAGGCGCCCAAGTTCTCCAAAGTGGAAATAGAAATGAGACATGATGGAACGGTCGAACAGGGGTTCGGTTCGGCCAGCCGGCGTGCGCCGCCCACGACGACGAGGCTGGAGCAGGGGTCGCTTTCGCGGGCCGGCCCGTACCGTCATCATCCCCTGGGCATGCGCTCCCTTTCCGTCGTGTTGAAATTGCGTATCAGTCTCAGTGGCGCCTTTCTAAATCTGCATTGGGACTTGCTAGGTCATGCAATTTGTGTGTAGGCGAGCGGGCTTCGGCGGCCTCTCGTTTCGACTGTATTGTAGGCATCTAGTAAAGTTGCTCCCCCGTTCGCTTGGCAGTACCACCAAGCAGTCGCTCCACCAGCGCTCCTTGCAAGGCTGCATCGATCCGTACAAATTGTGCATGTCCAAAAAGTATCTTGACCTCAACATCACCTACGCTTGCGACTCGTATATCGCAATGCAAGGCCCAGGCCCAGCGCGGCGCCAGTTAGCAGCACCGGGACATACTTGTACCCGCCTCGCCAGGAATAGAATAAATCTCTCACGGCGGCTGGTGCAGCTTCGAGCCAGCTCTTTTGATGTCGTCAGGGACAATGTATTTATGGACCTTGCGGTACCTCTCTTCTTCTGGTACTCCTGTAACCAGTCAGTTTTATGGTCTTTGGGTATTTCTAGACTTCTTCATACCCATCCAAGCAGCACATCTGACGAACCAAGTATGTGCTCTGATGAACGTTTCCATATTGTGGGTGGGCAGTGCCGTCTCCATCGCGTCGGACACAGCCCACCCATATTGCGTTGAGATTGGGAATCCGTAGTGCAGTGCGTATGTCTGGAAGCAAAGCGGCAAAAGATTGACGTTTTCAAAGTCGATCAAACAAAGAAACCCATTCGCATCAAAGATGAAGTTGCCAGGGTTAAAGTCCCCCCAGACTAGATAGAGCCTGCTGTCGAGGGCACATTGTGGCCGTGGTGGGGCACCCGAGGGGGGCGGGTGGTTTTGAGGCATGCCGCTCATATAATTCACATGCGCTCGCAGAGAAGCGACGTCCTTGAACAGCTTCGGCGCCTCCGCATCCTTGAAGAGGGGGTGCAGGATAAGGCCCCCTCCGTAAGGTCCGGGGGTCGCATCGGCTGGTATGGGAATGCTCAGAAGGATGTCGATGGCTTTTGCAATGCGTCGGATGTACGAAAGCTGTTCCTCCCAAGGCAATGTCTCTGCGAGTTTTTGGAGTGTTCGTCCTTCCCTATATTCCATGACGACAAAATCTGGCCAAATCACGCGGAATATCTTAGGGACGCAGGGGAGGCTATCCTTGTTGACAGCTGACAGGGATATTTCTTGCAGGGCGTTGTAAGTAAATTCTCGTGTTTCGGCCTCCATTCTTGTCAACGCCGACGAGTGCTTGCCATACTTGATGTAGAACCACGGAGACTCGGAGTCGAGCGGGTACGGGAAGCCGGAACGGTAGTAACCAGCTTCCTCCTTCAAGTTCCTCATCTCTTGCAGAGTTAGAGAGTCGGCGATCTCTTGCAGCTGTTCCATGGTTTTCATTTTGATTCTGGTGGGGACGATCAATGGCGCGCAAGGTGAAAGGTGATGCATTGCAAGAGAAGCAAATGTGCTTCTTGGAGGGTCGCTGATTCAAGGCTGCACTCCTGACTGACTAAGCACGGCTGGGGTTCATTAGATACATTCACCTGGAGATGGGTGCAACATCGGGCTGTAGGTAGCTTGATGAAGGCTGCCGAAAATTAATTCAGGGAGCCTATTAGCTGTAACACAAGACATGGGTATCTAATAACGGCACGGATACGGAGCACCTGTAAGTAACTTAATGGAGTATTGGAAAGGTAGTAACGAGATTCAGATATTGATAGTGGTCAAATTCGTGTATATTGGTGTTCTGGTTGATAACTAGCTAAGACACTGGTCTCTTCTGCCTCCATCGCCGTGTCTGCGTGCAAGCCCAACGAAAACGTCGGGCGCAGCTCGATTCTGGTCAATGAGAGGACTGTATTGAGCAGGCTGCTCTCACAGGGTCGGCATGGAGTAATGACGGTGGTTGGTGGTCGTAGGATCCCACGTGAGGCCGCAAAAGCGCCTTGTAAGTTTCGGAAAGCGGGCATCTCTATGGCGGTCGGGAGGAGCCGTGCAATAACAAGAAACCCGCTGAAGTTGTGGGCCGATATAGCTTCCCGCCCCCAATCACAGGAGGGCTCGGTGGGTTAGTAAATAGTCGCCTCTCATTGGCTCAGTCTTAACCGCCCGTTCGGAGCTATCGCAGCAATTGCATGAGCGCCCGTTGCTTCTTCATCTACACAAAATGACGGAAGGCTGCAGCCGACGCGAACCGACCTGAATCACGAAGACCGACCCTTCATGCGTCGCAGCCTCATCGTGTGATTGCAATGGCTCCTTCCAACACCGCCCTCTCTCAGGACGCGCCGGCCAGGCGCCGCGGCCAGACTGCCGAGGCTGATGAGCCAGCACCCGATCGCAACACACCACCACGCCAGCAAGATGATGCGTTCACCATGGCGCAGCTTTGGAGTGGTGAGTGGCCGTCCTCTTAACTGTCCCCCACCCCCCCTTTCCCGTCACACAGGCGCCAAGACTAACCCCGTCTCGCACGCAGGCGCCGGCTTCATCGCGCAGGCCGCCGTCGTTACCTTCGCCCTATCCCTCTCCGGGCGGGTACTCTCACAACCCCTGAGCCTCTTCTCCTGGCACCCGCTTTCCCAAGTCTTCGGCCTGTTCCTGCTCGTACAGTCCATCCTGGTGCTGCAGCCCACCCGCACCGCCGCCCAGCGGCGCGTCGGCCAGTGCGTCCACGCGTGGCTCAACGCGGCCTCGCTCGTCGCCTTCGCAGCCGGCTTTACCGCCGTGTACGCCAACAAGCAGCGCAACGGTGCGCCGCACTTTGCGAGCAACCACGGCGCGCTCGGCGCGACGCTGACCACGCTCCTGGGCGGCCAGTACCTGGTCGGCTTCGCGATGTGGGTGGTGCCGGCGCTGCGAGGGCGGGTGTGGCGGTTGCATCGGGCGGCCGGGTATGTCAGCTTGCTGCTGCTGCTGGCGACGTTTTGCACGGCGGCGGACACGGGGTTCGTGCGCAACGTGCTGAGGATCGAGGCGTGGGTGTTTTACGCGCCGATGGCGCTTGTCGCGGTTGGGGTCCTGCCGCGCATTCAACTGTCGAAGCTGGGATTTAAGAAAAGGAAGGTGTAACAGGAATGCTTGAGCCATTCGTTTCTCTGGTAGCAAGCGCAGATAGATTAATATTACGTCGTTTGATGTCGCCAAACCTCATTTATAAAGAAGCTTTCTACTTCGGCGCCTGCCTAGTGATGTTCTGATTGCAGAGTTATGGACAGTTGTCTGACTTGGCTAGCAATCTAGCCTCACAGTCTAAATCTCTCATCTCAAATATGATCGGCGCTGAGAACTCATTCAAAGGACACAAAAAGCAGGCGGTGGTGTTGGCGCTACCCTATAGCGGAAGTTGTGCGTCGACGCCATTCGCGCTCAGCGGCACGACCAGACAATCCAGCACCCACCTCACGAGCGCAGTATCCAGCTTTATTGTAAAATTAGCAGCGTAAATGCAGCGACCTAGCACGCATGTGTACAAGCATCACAGAGTTTCGCCTCGAACGAAATCTGCTTCTCAACTTGGGGCAACAACTTTGACGGGGCAACAACATTGACGGAATCCACCACAGCGTGCGAGTTCTTCGGATTACTCGGAGTGCATTCTATGGAAACCTCTCTACACTGCTTAACGGTCTGACCAAGCTCTTTAAAAGAATCACCAATTGCTGATGCCCGCGTACTACTTACCGCCGCCTCTCGTCATAAGGACACTGAGGCCCGGCTGCCAGGATGAATTCGGCGACGAAAAGGCCATGTACGAGATTCTCAAGACGCTTCAAGGCCGTGCCATTCCTACATTCCCGAGCTGGGCGATGATGCATGGAGGATTACTGGTCATTCTGCTGTCCCGGATTGAAGGCGTGCTGTCGTACGACCAGCAAGGTATCCCATGCCTGCAGAGAAGTACCCGGTGGAGGAGCTGCATTGGGAGCTTACAAAGTTTGGCATGGCGTACGGAGATACAGTTGGAGAAGTTCATCAAATCCGATGGGCGGGTCATTGTTGTGGATTTGGAGGCAGTGTCTGCTGTCGAGCCGATGGAATACGAGCTTGCGGCATCGTCGCATCGCAAGCATCTGATGGGGCAATATCCTTCGTATCTGGAGAGTCCTTTTACAGATTTTGGTCCCCTGTGATGTGCTTACTGTACGCGTACCTTTCTACTTCCTACGCGTGGCATCGGAATGGTCAATTTAATTCACCCCTTTCCCAGTGCATTGCAGAGAAACGTGATGCTGCCATACATTACCGTGGACTTTTCCACGTGTACCCTATGCCGTGGATCGGCGCCGTTCTCGTTGGTGCGAGTGAACAATGAGATGGGGCTAGTTTTGTCATGTGGGCTTGGAGGGGAGCCTGTGCACAACTCACAACTAGTTAGTTAGGTCAGAGGAACTTGCCGAAGGAACTCCAAAGAAGGAAGGAAGCTAGAAGGGAATAGAAGTACGGGGTGCAAGGACTATTTCGACTGGGCGCGCCGCCACCGACGCCATACGGAAGCAACGGTGACTGGGGCCTACTGTATTGAGCCTGGGGCGTGCATGCATGATGCAGACCATAGGAGGGAAGTTCTAGCATAACAAGGCTGCCAGTGCACTAGATGTCTTCCTTGACCAACCAAGAGAGTTTCGAGTGTTTGTTTGCCGACTTTGCAGTGCCGTGTCTCGGGTCTCGGGGGAGGCGATGGGAGGCATGAGGGCTCTTGGCTGCGCTGATGGCCTGCAATTGGAGCCGCTAGTTTACCCCTATCCTTGCCTTGTTCAGTTATTATGGCCAAGCTGATGCGTGTGGTGAAAAGGGGCTGGCTTGGCGGTGGTAACTAACTACCTGGAACCGACAACGCCGCCACACAGCCATCGCGAGTTCACTTTGCCGCTTGACATGGGGCATCATCACTAACTTGTAAGTCATTGCATAGACAGTGCAACCTGTAGTCTGCAGCATAAGAATTGTACTGTCCAAAATGTCACTATTTCGAATATGACGAATAATAGCTGTTTTTAACCTTATATTAGTTTATTACTTCTAGGTATGTTGATACTGGGCAATACTAATTTGGTTCCTTATATAAATATTATTACGCTTAATAGGCGCCGTTAACAACTCCATCATTAGAGAACTTTTGTAAACTTGGCTGGCCCAGTCTAGATCGGCAATTAGAAAGAACTGCATTCCAACTTTACTATATATATATATATATGTATATCTTGTAGGCAATGTAAAGCGTAAAAACACTCTAGAGACTGGACGAAGGAAGAGATGATGTCGTATTTGTATTGGGATAAGGCAGAAGAAGAGCGGGTTGAAGCAGTGGTAGTGGCAGCTGAGATGCAAGCTGATTCCTTCTCTGAGAGACGCGGTGTGGTTGACATCTGGGAGGCTGTGGTAGCGGACTGTGTGGCATGAGAGGCCCTATATTTAGGCAAGTAGGCCACTAAACCTTTATCACTGATCACTGAGAGGGACGTGCGGGAAAGTTAGTCAGCAGGGCGCGGAATTCGGCTCCCATTGAGCGGCGCCAGGATAAAATCGGCGCCCAGGCGCGAATGTACATTTTCATTTATGTGTCTCCAGAATGCGCAAGCTATAGCAGCCTACAATGGATACGACAAATCCTACAAAACGCATGCGAGCTGCGTGTTCGGAATTAGTTGAGGATGAACCTTCTGAAAGGCCTACCAGTGCCATTCATTCTACTCCAATTAGGCGACCGCCTCCGTTACACCCAACCACTGTCAACTCCATGCAACAACAACAACAACAACCCTCAGCGCTAGCCATGATGCCTCATGAAATTTTGGTCCTGATACTTGGTAATTTACTTATCGGGCAAAATCCCGTCGAGCTGCATTCCAAGCGTCGGTTCAGCAGGACCAAGAGGGTCAAGACGTCCACCGACGCAAAGTCGAGGACGCCACTGATCAGCGTGTTGCTATCCTGCCGCGCCATGTACTTTGCCGGCTTGGAGGTCTTTTACGAGAGGAACGTGCTGAAGTTCCATCAGGCGCTGCACCTACGCAGGTTTGTTTCTGGACTCAGCGACGACCAGAGGTGGGCGATGCGCACCATTGAAATACATTTACAGTGGACGAAACCACGGCGAGGTGGGGGTTGGGAATTGCTGCATCAATCGGATTTTTGCGTTAATTGGAAAGACGTGTTGGAATGGCTCCCGCGTCTCAAGGGTATTACTATCAATAGTTATTCCAGATTGAATGACTCCGAAATGATGGATGCTATAGATGTGGTTGCGTTTGAGAGGATGACGAGAGGGGAACTAGGTCACAGGTTTGCAAACACGTTGAAGTTTGTGTGGCCAGGTGGAAGAACTGCGCCATGAGCGTCTACAGCAGTGAACAAGGAAATAACGTACGAGATATTACTATCGTTCTTAATAATTCATTGTCGTATGGTAGAAGATGAAAGATGATCAAAAAGAATTAAAAAAACGAACTGTATGAGTTATGCTGGAATTGGTTTCTTTTTTTCTCACCCTGGCCGCTAATGGTGTGATGTCCAGGGCATATTTGCGGACGGTTGAAATTGCCATTTTTGGACGATTTGAGTGATGTGATGGATGTGCCAGATCCGGAGCCGCTGTTACACTGGATGGCGGGCGGCGCCATACTGTGGTACGGTGACCAGCTGGGCAGTCTCGGGAATAGCCTCATAAACCAAAGCACGCATGTACGCGGGCCGTTGAAGGTCCTGCGGCAAACGGTGTGCCATGCTAACTGATTAGGCTATTGAAGCCGGGCAAGGCGAGGCGAGCGTGGTCAGATTCGGTGAGTTGAATGGGCACGGCGGGCGCGAGTAAAGACGTGCTGCAGAGCACTAACTAGTTACAGTACCAAGACAAATAGTGACTGTTCTGTACTCCGTAGTTATGGATACACTACCGGCTTCTGAGCGGTAATATTTTTTTTGCAGTGTCATAGGCAATTTATTTGTGGATGGAGGGCCCGGAGGTTTGGGCAACAAGGGAACGGCAGGGGTGGTAGGGAAGGGGGAAAAAGTGGCGCGGTTGGGCATCCAGGAGATGAAGGTGTATTAAATAGCAGGATTGGCGAGAAAGAGTGTTGCCATAATTAGAGGGCAAGAGAAACATGCTTTGGATGTGGTGTGGTGATGATGGCGACGGTGGTGAGACAAATGGTCAACCCTTGCTGGGTGATGTAGATGTCTCGCACACGCCATCGGGAGTTGAAGTTGGGTAATTCCGAGGGGCCGGAACTGCCTGAGATGGCGATGACGTTGTCGTATGACGTTGAGCACGTTGAGATACGGATGATCGGAGAGGGGGGGATAGGGAGGACTAAAGGGTAAGAACTGGATAGATCGTATCCGTTTCGAGACGAGTCAGGTGAGGCAGACTATACGGATGGCCAGAAGAGGAAGATATAGTCGAGAGAGAAAACGCCAACATGCAGAATATGACAATGTGTGTCTGATCAAATCAGGCTTTGGTAAGCGCAATTTAGAAGAGTTGCGGTGGACAGTTGGCGACCGAGACAATGCAGGAACAAGGCTGATGATGAAATCACAAAAAAAAAAGTGAGGAAAACTTAGAAAAGGAAAAAAAAAGGGATTCGCGGGGATGAGAGAGACAGGCAGGCCTCGTGGCGTGGAAAAATATAGATGTATTTGAGACGAAATGTGAGCTAAATTCTCGGTACAGAATCCGGGTACCAGGTAAATTTTAAACTAGTTACATAGTTGGCTAATTTCAACAAAATAGCGGCCGTTTTCGACCAGAAAAAAGGCTGCAAGGTGAGGTGAGGCGTTGCGGAGGCGTCGACGACGAGGCGCTGTGCAAGTGGCTGAAGCATGTCGCAGCTTCTCGAGGTACCTACGTCATGGGCACGCGCTGCAGCAGGGTGCTGGTCATAATTCCAGCTTGACCCCACTGGCACCACCGTCGTGGCTTGCAGGGGGGGGGGAAGAGGAGAAAAAATCTGAGAGGGACGACAGGGGGAGGAAGAGTAGGCTGGAATTTTTCAGATGCCAAGGGAGCAGTAATTGAGGTGAAAAGAATACGGGGGGATAGGGGACGAGGCAATGTGATGCCTATGACAGAGGTCCCGGAGATTGGCAACGCGTTGGCTCTATTCTTACGAGGTACATACTTTGCAGTACTACGAAGTTAGGTAGTAAAACAGGTAGGCACCTATGTACCTATGTAGGTGCTGTTAGCGTTGGTACTGGTAGACATTCTTCTCTCCACCTCCACTTTATTAGCGCACAGCCAACCTCACTATTTACTTGACCAGTAAGAGTAAATACCTGCTCCCAATACACCCAAAAAAAAACACTCCTACTCCAATGCTACCTCCAACGGCTGCAGTACGGTTGGTTGCTCTGCCCGTTTGCCTATCCCATCCCATCCCAATCCACACAATCCAAACCTACAATCCACATCTGTCTCCCATCTCCCATCTGCCATCTGCTCCTTCATTCTTGCCTTTGTCTTTGACTGATCCTCCCTCCGTTCTGCCCGGCCCTCCCTCCGCTCTCACCTTACTCGTCATCACCTGCCGACCACGACCTCAGACCTCACCAAGCTCCACTTTGCCCACGACCGTTCCAAACCACGACACACCCGTTTTACTCTCACCAAACCAGCTTCTCACCAAAGCCACGTCAACCCTTCCCTCGCTCGCCTCTCCCTCCACCGGCCTTTGCCCTCCCATTTCCGCCAGCAAGGCCGTGCATTCAGTCAGCTTCCTGTATACCCCAACATCTCACCCCACCGGCTCCGGCGCTGCTGCTTGGGGTCTCGCCCACGCGCTACCCTAACCGGCTCCCTTGACTAGTTAGCAACGCCAAGCAGCAGCCACCACCGCCTTCTTCTCCAACGGCTGCACTTGCTCGACCATCACCGGTCTCCCTTCCGGGACTCTTCGCCTCATCTTGTGCCAAGCTCTGTCTCGCAGAATAGCTCGATTAAATCGGCTCAGCGTTGCGACTACCACCACCTGCCGACATCCTGCTTCAACCGCGCGCCGCTTCCCTCAACCGAAACCCGCCCTCCGGTCCTGCCACTCGACACGCCGGCCGCGACACCTCGCTCGGCACCCCCCTCACTCCTTCAACGGGCTGCTCGCAAACGGCCAGTCTTCCGCTGCCCACCGGCCTGTCGAGACATGGACAAATGAGCGTTAACGGTGCCCCGAGTGCCCCTGCGCATGGCCCTGACTCGTCCACGATGCCCTCCCGACGCTCCAGCTACCCTCTCTCGGCCGCCACCGAGGCTGCTGCGCGCGCCATGGCCATTAATGCTCGCGATGGCCGCCAGGCCAATGCAGCTGCAGCCGACTCCCCCGATCCCGCAGACACGATCGCCGTTGCCGACACGGACGGCGCCTTTGAAGGCGACGTCGCCGTCGACGGCCCTCCCTTGGCCGCCTCAGTCTCCCCGCCTCAGCTTCAACTCAACGAGTATCGAGAAAAGCTGGCTCGTGACTTGGAGCGCCGTGAGCATCAAGTTAGAGGCTTGGTACCCGCCACGCCCACCGTCGACAAAATCCGTACTGTCGTCCCCATCCAAGAGGAGCCATCGCCTTCTCCGCCGTGGGCCTCCTCCAATCTCAACACCTCGTCTACAGAGTCCGGCAATACCGTCCGTGGCGCCATGACGCCTGCCATTCTCGCCCGCACACCTTCCTACCCGTTTCCCAGGATGGCCACTACTCCAACCGCTTTCAGTCCCAGCCAACCCTTCGTCAACACTGCCAACCCCGCATCTCGCATCAACATCGCCATTCCCCAACACGAACCTCGGGCAGTCTTGGAGCGCGTTCTCTCCGAAACCTCGACTCCCGCATCTGCCTTTTCTTTCAACCCTGGCGCGACTCACATGCCCGAAAGCATCGACTTTCCTAGCCCGGATCTCTACAATCTATCTCTCCTTCTCTCTTCGGAGCCGGGCTTGGACGCATGGTGGAATACCGTTATTCAAATAATGAGAGATGTCTTCCAGGCTGAGCGCGTGACCCTGTCTGTGCCTGCCGATGCCGCAGATTTAGAAAATGTCCCTTGGGGTCAAAAAGCCACTTACAATGAACACCAAGAAGACGAGCTCAGTCTCGGTTACATGGCCAAAGGCAGTAGCGCCGTCCAAAGCAGCAATGCTGAGGCTGCGGATGCTCTACCTTCGCTCGACGACCTCGCCTCGCCCGCAGAGGCGTCACCCGTTCGCCCTGGCCTGCATAGTCGTCATTCTTTCACCAGCTACGAAGAGAAAAAGGACCCAATGCCAACGACACCGCGTCGACCTAACCATTTGTCGCGAAGCAAGACCTCGGCCCCGGTTCCCTCAAGAGTGTTGCGTTCTGGCACCCGCCTTGACAGAACCAAGCTTGAGGAGCATGACTCTCAAGCTCAAGAGGGCTCCGCCATTCCTAGCTGGGAAATTCCGTTCCTGGCACGCTACGAAGGTCAAGGCAGAGTTCACTCTGTCCTCCAAGCCCTGGACTTTGAGGCTGATCCGCTTCTCGATCACGCTGGTGTTGTCAGAGTCCTAGAACGAGGTGGCCCCGTCACTCTAACAAGGTCGTATCCATACCTTCTTCCAAATAATCGGGAGATGGACGCCTCCAAAATGGCTGCTGCCGACTCGCTCAAAAAGGCCAAGATAAACTCGTCCGAATCTCTAACTAGTCTATCCTCAATCTTACCTACCGCCTCGACCAAACCCGCCGCCAAAGGTAAGCAGCCTGCCACCATTGATTGCGTCGCCCGCGACGATGAGCAAACTCAGGTTGCTACTCCCAGATATGAAGAATACGAACAGGTTGCGGCGTCCCCTTGGGCGCAGTCACCCGCCCCCTCGCCCGCCATTCGCTCCGACACCGCTGAGAACCCTTTCTTCGCCGAGGCCATTGTTGATGAGGGCTCCTTTGACCCAGCTACTGGGGCTGCCGACTATACCGATATGCGCCCACCGGAAGCCATTGGCTTAGATAACTCATGGACTGTCCTCCACATTCCGCTTACTCACGTTCTGCAGTCAAGGCAAACGCGACCATTCAAACTCGACGCTACCAATATGGAACAGAGGTTGCATGGCCAAAGACCCGAGAGTCCGCCAAGTCTTGCAACTGACTCCAAGAAGAATAAGCCAGCGCCGATTGCAATTCTGTCCCTATTGAGCACGGTTACGCCATACCCACCGAACTTGCGCAAGTCGTTGGAGCACCTGTCACCTCACATGGCTACCTCATTTTCTCTAGCTCGCCACTATACAAATCTCGAGACAGAGCTCGCAGGGATTCAAAGACGGCGCCCTCCCACCACAGGCTTTGGTGCCGTTGCGCCCTATGGGCGATCGTATGAGAGCACCGCTGCGCTGGCTTCAGCTGACATTATCCAATTACGATCAACCGCCGGAAGCATTACTAGCCCCAGCGACTACTCTGCCGTCTCAAAGAGTGCTGCCGGCTCTCCGATCGGCACACCTGGCTGGAAACGCCAGCCAATCCCAAGTCCTGCGGCTCTGTCAGGCGGAGACAGCTACTTCAACAGTAAATCGACGCTGGCGGGCAGACCAGAGGCCATTAATTCAGGAGTTCAAAGATCCAAATCTAGCTCTGTCGAGATTTCGCCAGGTGACAAGAGATCCTCACGGCTCCCTGGCAGCAGCGTCCTGTATGGCACCATGGAAGAGGATGAAACGCCTCTTGAGAAACCTGGGGAAGGTATTCCAGTGCAGCATAGAAAGTCTCGCTCAGCGAGCAGCGCCGAGCCGGTCTTTGAACTTGGGGAGGCACCGACTAATAGCCTCGATGAGAAGATCGAAGCTGAGAGGCATGTATCGCAGCATCAACGCCCCCAAAACCACCCACATACCATGCTCCATAGCTATGGCGCCGATTTCGCCTCGACTTTTCAATCTCTACCGCCGAGCTCTAGCTTGATGAGCCGACCGTCACCCACACCCCTCGCGCCGGGGCAATCACGCAGCATGTCGGCTGTTTCCGCGGCAGCGGGCGACATGCCGCCGCCCTCTGACCGACTCAAGAGTCTCATTCTGGACTCCCTACCTGCTCACGTCTTTGTTTCCCTGCCACAAACCGGCGAAATCGTCTGGGTGAATAGCCGTTATTTGTCATATCGTGGACAGACTGTCAACAGTCTTGCTGCCGACCCATGGAAGAGTCTTCACCCTGATGACCGTGACGAGTACCTTAAGGACTGGGGTCACTCCCTGCGAACGGGGGACCAATTCTCGCGGACAGTGCGCATCAAACGTTTTGATGGCGCATACAGATGGTTCTATGCCCGGGCCGTCGCCTCCAAGGACAAGAGAGGGGTCATCATGCAATTCCTCGGCTCATATATGGACATTCATGACCAGCACATTGCCGAGCTCAAGGCCGCACGCCAGGAAGAGATTGAAGCCTCCGAAGCCAAGCACAGGTTACTGGCAAATCTCATTCCGCAGATTATTTTCACGGCGACGGAGGATGACGGCGTTACGTTTGCGAATGAGCAGTGGCTCTCCTATACGGGACAGAGCTTCGAGGACGCTCTGGGACTAGGGTTTATGGACTTTGTGCATCCTGAAGACTTGGCCAAGTGTCGCATCCCCATTACTCGGCCTTGTTCTGATGCAACGCTTTCGCAGAGAGCCGCCAGAAGAGGAAGCGACTCCGGGTCAAGGTCCGTCCGATTCGGGCACAAGAGTACGGTTACTAGCTCTACCTATGAAATGCCAACAGCGGATCTGGCTGAGCTTGCCAAGAAGGGCATCGTTAGAATCGGCACAGACACCAACGGCCGAGTCTCGTACACCACGGAGCTGCGATTACGATCCAAAAATGGAGATTACCGCTGGCATCTTATCCGTTGCGTCGAAATTGACACGATTGATTTCGGTCGGGGCGCCAGCTCTTACTTTGGATCGGCGACAGACATTAATGATCACAAGCTCCTCGAGGCAAAGCTCAAAGAAGCTATGGAGTCCAAGGGCAGATTTCTCAGCAACATGTCCCACGAAATTCGAACACCACTGATCGGCATATCGGGCATGGCCAGCTTCTTGCAAGACACCACGTTGGACGAGGAACAGCGCGATTACACAACCACCATACAGACCAGTGCCAATAGTCTCATCATGATTATTAATGACATTCTCGACTTGTCCAAGGCCGATGCTGGTATGATGAAGCTCAATTTTGAATGGTTCCGAGCGCGATCAATAATGGAAGACGTCAACGAGCTTGTGTCCACCATGGCTATTGGAAAAGGCCTGGAGCTTAACTATCTCGTTGAAGCGGATGTACCATTGTGGGTTAAGGGCGACAAAATCCGCATTCGACAGGTTCTTCTCAACGTTGTGGGCAACGCCATAAAGTTTACCGACACCGGCGAGGTCTTTAGCCGCTGCAAAATCTATACCGATACCAGTGAACCGATGGGCGAGCATGAGATCATGCTCGAGTTCTCGATTACTGATACTGGGCGGGGATTCACTAAGAAGGAAGCAGAATTAATTTTCAAGCCTTTTAGCCAGATTGATGGGAGCAGCACTCGACAACATGGCGGTAGCGGATTGGGCCTCGTCATTTCGAGGCAACTTGTTGAACTGCATGGAGGCAAGCTAGAGGGCACAGCCGCCCCTGGCGAAGGGTCTACGTTTACATTTACCGCGCGGTTCAACCTGCCGACAGCTCACGACCAACCGAATCTCCCTCAAAGCCCCGGCTCGACCATTTCCACCTTTTCACGTCAGGAGTCTGAGGGTGGACTTAGAGGATCCCCACAGCTCTCTGCTACGCTGAAACGTCGCAGCACCGATGAAGCAAGCCCCAGTGAGGCTGCGTCAGGGTCGCTTTTGGCCCGCAGCAGCAGCCCTCGCATGAGCGGTCTCTCGAGAACAGCTGCGTCTTCGCAGGCGTCTGGTCCTCTTGTTGGTGTGAACCCTGGTCTTGCTCGGTTCAGCGAGGCCGCAAAGGCCAGCGGCCATGATTTGAGCCAGATGCGGTTGGAGATTCCCGGTCGCGACTCCCTTGGGCGAACGGCAACCCCTGATCATGTTGGGCGACCACGACCGACCGGCATTGCGCCACCTCCGGTCTACTCAATTCTCGTTATCTGCCCTCAACACCACAGTCGCGAAGCCACTGTGCAACACATTGAAATGACATTGCCCAAGGATGTGCCGCATGAAATCACTGCCATTCCCACTATTGACGAGGCGCACGACTTGATTGGCGGCAATGATCCCGTCACTTTTAGCCATATTGTTATCAATCTGGGCTCTGCAGAAGCTATCCTCGCATTTTTAGCAGAGGTCACAACCTTGCAGAAGCTGGAGAAGACGGTCATTGTGATTCTGTCGGACTCGTTGCAACGCACGGCCGTGATGAAGGCAGCCACGGGCACCCCGACGGAGCAAACACTAGAGAGCAACTCAGTCACCTTTATCTACAAGCCTGTGAAGCCATCGCGCTTCGCTGTTATCTTTGATCCGGACAAACGACGAGACCTGAGCACAGACTGGAACCGATCCACCGCACAGCAGCTTGTTGAGAGGCAGAAGGCGAGCTATACGGAAATGTCAATGCGAATGGGCCACAAGGGCTACAAGGTGTTGGTCGTGGAAGACAATAAGATCAACCAAAAGGTTCTAACAAAGTATCTGGAAAAGATTGGCGTCGAGGTGGAGATTGCCGAAGACGGTGTTGAATGCACAGAGCTTGTGTTTAACAAGCCTCACAACTATTACTCGTTGATCCTTGTGAGTACAATGAATTGCCCGTTCTTTACGGAGGATGCTAACAGAGATCAGTGCGACATTCAAATGCCGCACAAGGATGGCTACGAGACATGCCGTGACATTCGTGAGTGGGAAGCCAGGAATGGCTTTGACCGGCTGCCAATCATTGCACTGTCAGCCAACGTCATGTCGGTTGTCTTTGATAAGTGCACGGCGGCCGGGTTCAGTGACTATGTGACGAAGCCGGTCGACTTTATCAGCCTTAGCAAGGCCATGGTGAAATACTTCTCTTAACCAAATAGTTGACGAAACAAGCAGTGGACGAAGAGTTCGAATGTATATATAGATGAGGGGAAGGGTATTAAAAAGACTGGGATAAAGAAAAGGGCGAATGCTGGGAGTTTTGCTTGATTTGATACCTGATATCCTTACTGCGCAGGATCATAGCGGTTTTCTCTTTCTTGATGGGGGTTTGGGACATTATTGATACTGTTTCCCCCTCTTTTTTCTTGTTCTTTTTTTATTTCTCTTTCTGCTACAATCATGGCCTTTGCGAGGGGATGAAATCAAGAAAGGAAACTTGCTGAGTTGGGACGGTTCGAATGGATGAAGCAATGTACTTTTATAGACTTTGGGTGCTTATTTTACAATACCAGCGTTACAATTGTGCTTGAACATTTCTACCCTTCGTCTATCAATACCAGCGTTACGCATTACACATTCCTTACCGTACGGTTTTGACAACACCTGTGCGTGAAAACGCAACTTGATCGGAAACCGAGACTTGATTTGCGCTGCTAAACTTGAGCTGAGTCATAAAATAAAAACAAAAGAAATGAAAGTGGTCATAATCTTAACTTTTCTCGCCTTTCGCTCGCTGACTATTTATTTATATGCATATCGTCGTGGGTATCAAGACAGTCGTGGGCATCAAGACACATCTCATCACCTTTTTTTCCGGCGGGCAGGTGTTTTAGTACACGCTTCCCTGGATACTCCGATCCGCCTGCTCCGCGGCCTCGAGATCCCCATCCTCGGCATCTTCCTTGCCGCCCCTCATCACCACCACCACCACCTCCTCCTCCTCCTTCTGCTTGTCCTGCTTGTTTTTCTTCTCTGCCACGCCGCCGTCGCCGGATTCAGAGTCGCTCAGCGGCGGCGCATCGCCCAGCCTATTAGCGAACGGGCCGATGCCGGGGCTGGCGACGCTGCTCCCCGTGGAGAGCTGCCGGGTGTGATGGTGGTGGTGGTGGTGGTGGCTGTTGATGGTGGACTGCAGCAGGCGGGCCTCGACGGAGTTGAGGATGCTGCCGCGGCGACGGCGGCGGTGCAGGCCGCCGGCTTCGTCGTCGGGCTTGTCGCTGTCGGAGTCGGCGACGGAGGCGTGCCCGGAGTAGCTGCCGCCAAAGTCGCGCCCGAGGTGCACAAACGGCGGGGACTTTAACGTGGGCTGCTGCTCAGAGGGAGCCACCGTGGTACCGTCGTCGTCGGCCTCTTCGGCAGCGGTGGTGGTAGTGGCGCGAGAGACATGTACGGGTGGCGGCTGCTGCTTCTTCCTATCGGGGCTGGCAGTGGTGCTGGATGATGGGGTGGCGCCGTGATCGTCATCTTCGTCGTCGGAGCTGATGGCGGGTCGCGGCCGGTGACGGTGGTGGTGGTGGCCGTTGCTGCCGTTGTTAGCGGCCTTGCGGGACGACTGGGCCGCCTGCTCAATGTCATTTTGGCGCAGCGACTCGAGGTCCTGCCGCTTAAGATACTTGCTCGTGTGGTTGCAGCCATCCGGGCAGCCACCCCATCGGCGGGTGACGACAAACGTCTTGTTGCGCTGGAGCTTGACCTCGTCCTTAGCCGGTGTCCCGTCAGCCGCCGCCGCCGTGCCGCCGACTTTTCCCCTTTCCTTCTCCCGCTCCTTCTCCTTGAGGGCCGCGCGCTCCCGCTTAAGCTCGGACCAGGTGCGCAGCTTCGTCTCGAGGTTGTACTTGCCGTTGTCCTGCCTGCGCATGACGAGGAACTCGCAGTGGTCGATGTTGCGCAGGTCCTCAAAGTACTCGACGGTGAAGTGGTACCACTTCATGAGGAAGACGCGGGACATGAGGCCGTGGGTGACGAGGACGCAGACGCTGGCGAAGTCGTCCTCGCCGAACTGGCGCCAGAGGCTCTCGTTGAAGCCGCTGACGCGGTCGTAGGCGTCGGCGGCGCTCTCGCCGTTGGGGATGCGGTAGAAGAAGTGGCCGTAGTCGGCACGTTCCTGCCACATGCGCTCCATCTCGGCGCTGCAGGGCTGGAAGTTGCCAAAGTCCTGCTCGCGAAGCCGGGGTTCCTCGTAGACCTTGATGGCGGCGCGGCGGAACGGGGACGGGCCGGAGTCGACATCGTCGGAGGTGAGCGTTGTCAGGATGCCCTCTGTGGTATCACGTGTGCGGCGGTAGGGTGAGGTGAAGAACTGGACTTTGTCATCGGGGCGGAGGAGGGCACGCAGTCGGCGGCCGGCGTCGTAGGCTTGGTTCCAGCCGTCGGCGGTGAGCTTGACGCGGTGGTCGGGGACGGCCTGGTGAATGTCTCTATTTTCTGGAGGGAGGTGGTTAGCGTGATGGCAATGGGAGATTGCATTGGACAAGGAAAGGGGAGTGGTTACTGTTTCCCTCGGACTGGGCGTGGCGGATGAGGATGATGAGTCTGGGCTTGGCCATGTTGGGCAGCCTGTATGATGGTGGCGATGGATGGGTTAACGGTAGGTAGGACGGAGGGTGTTGTCAAAGTGTCGGCGGTTTCGGAGAGTGTAATATGTGATTTTGAAAAACAAGAGAAGATCAGGCTCGATATAGGGATGCTGTTGATAATATGAGATAAAACGGGCAATGGCGCAATCTCACGGCATGAATGAAAAAGAAGAAGAAAAGGTCCGGGTCGATCAGTCGAGTCCGTCAGTGTGTCGCATGTCAAAACTCCACGGTGGGGGCAAGGCTACAGCCAACCACAGCAACCAGCCCCCAAGGTTGCGACACCCGGCGCCACTAGCAATTAAGCAGGCGGCTAACTCTCGCTAATCGGTGGACAAGCTGATCCTGAATTGTGAGGTTGCATCTGGGTAGGTGGATGGATGTCATGAAATGGTCGAGTCTGTCCAGTCTGGTGAATGCTTCTCAAGGAAATAACCGGTACGGTGGCAACCTTGTACGCCGTCTCTTCTCTAGGACGGCACTGTGTGAATGTGTAGCCGAAAATAGCAGTCGCATAACCCAAGTTGAGATAGAATTTAGGTTAATCATTCTTTTTTTCAAATGCGAAAAAGAACAGGCAAGATTCGAATTTTCCTCACCGAATGCTGAGCAACTACGACATGTACATGCTTCTCGATCGATGCTTTGTTACTTACACCAGTCGGAGCCCATGTTCTCACCGCAACAAGCACTGTGGTCACTTGCTCATCGAAGAAGAAAAAATGTCAAAAAAGACCATGTCATGATAAATTTTATCCCCTTAGATTTTGCCCCAAAGACCTCTGATACTAGCACCAAGTTCATGCCTGGGCTTTCACAACAAGCAGGTCACTATGAGTCCTCGAACTGTGGATATTATGTAAGCACTCAGGTAACAAGCTGCAACCATTTTAACAGCGTCCAAATCCTCCAACTTCAACGCCACCACTTGCAGCTTCACAAATCTTTCCGTTGTCAATCACTGTCACCCCCTTCTCCTCTTTTCCATCTACAATTAAAGAACTACCAAAGACATTCCTCTTATTTCGCAGCCGACTCACCGCACTCCAACCACTTCCGCGCGCGCAATCGCTCGTCTTCTGCTCATCTGCCTAGCCGTCGCAAAAAACTCTCCCCTCCTTGCCAACAACCCAGCGACCCCAACTCCAGCCCACATCCGCACCGCACACACGCGCGTGCGCACACAACGACGACAATGTCTGCCGAGATCCCCGAATCCATCCCCACCTCCGCCGACCCCCGCTCCCACCGTCCCACCAAGCGCCGCGCGCTCAGCCCTTCCTCCGCACACGCCGCCTCCGTCTCCGCGCTCTTCGCCAAGCCCGACCGCGACATCCGCCTCCCTGGCGGCGGCGGCCGCCCGACGCACGCGCACAGCCGACCGCCGGAGATCGTCGCCAACGTGCAGGGCTCCTCGGCGGGCGCGGGCTCGGGCGAGTTCCACGTGTACAAGGCGGCGCGCCGGCGCGAGTACGAGCGGCTGCGGGCGATGGACGAGGACGTGCGGCGGGAGCGCGAGCAGGAGGCGTTTGAGCGCGACCGGGAGGGCAGGGAGAGGAGGGACGAGGAGAGGACGAGGCGGAACAGGGACAAGAGGGAGAAGATGAGGGCGCGAAAGGCGGGCAAGGGCAAGACGGGGGGCAGCGCGAGGGGGAGTGCAGGAGGAGGGGTCAAGCCGACGAACGTGGTGGCGGGTCGGGAAAGGGAGGAGGAAGATGCGGAGGAGGGCAAGAATGGTACGGCAGGAGCAGCAGCGGCGGAACCGGGCCTCGTCATCCACGACGAGGATTAGCCATGAAAACCAAAACGAGATAGATTTGTATATACAGTGATACCCATGCACCCCACGTCAGTCACTCGCATCTGTGAAGCATGCATCTCCATGTCTTTTCAGTAGACGTGTATTCGTCAATATAACCCTGCCTTTGTTTCGTACAAGTAGTATCCGGGTATCTTACCCACGTTTATCTAATCTCCTCCTCACTGATGAATCTCGTCATCATGCCATGGTCCCTTTTTTCTATATTCCTTCACTCATCTTTCTGAATTCCGTCCCTCATCTCTTCCTGGGCCTGACATGGGAATTTACTCGTCACCACCACCGCCACCAACTCCGGGAGCACCGCCTTGCAGCTTCTTGGCGCTGCAAATGTCGTCGACTCTCAAAAGCAAGCAAGCAGCCTAGTAGTACCTGTTAGCTCATACTCGTTCTCATACACATCCCATCCCAATGTCATTCAATCTTACCTCGACGGCAGTCTTAATGCTCTGCAGCTTGATGGCCTGGGGCTCCCACACGCCATACTCCTTCATGTCCACTATCGAACCGCTGTCGCCGTTGACGCCCCACGAGCTCTTGCCATCGGCTTGCTTGGCACGCAGGTCCGTCAGCACGCGGACCGGGCTCTTGCCGGCGTTCTGGACAAGGGTTCTGGGAATGACTTCGAGCGCATCAGCAACCGCTTTGTACGGCCACTGCTGGACACCCTCAATCGCCTTGGCGCGCTGGTTCAGACGCACAGAGACGGCCATCTCGGTGGCACCGCCGCCGGGCGAGAGGCGGGGGTGGAACATGACGTTGCGGGCAACGCCCATGGCGTCCTGGAGGTTGCGTTCAATCTCGTTAAGTACGTCCTTGGATGGGCCGCGGAGAAGGACGGTGCAGGCCTTGGGGTCCTTGCACTTGGTCAAGAAGGTAAAGTACTCGTCGCCGATCTTCTCAATCTCGAAAAGACCACACTTTGTGCCGACATCCGAGTCGACAAGGTCCTCGACGCGGTTGACAATGGTGGCACCGGTAGCACGGGCTATTCTGTTGTTGTCCGTCTTGCGGACTCTGCGGAGAGCTGTGATGTTGGCCTTCATGAAGTAGTGCTGGGCGAGGTCTGATTACGGTGTTAGTGTGGTTAGTGCAACTTGGGGCATTTTGATACGCACCAGAAACACCCTTCTCAGTAATGACGAGATCCGGCTTGACGGCAATGATGGCATCGCAGATGGCCTTGATCTGCTCCTCCTCAATCTGCAGAATGCGGTTCCAGTCGTCCTCCTTGGTGATTTCAATGTTGGTCTGGGACTCGCCCTTCTTGTACTCGAGAGGGCAGTCGAGGAGAACGATGCGGGGGTTCTCAATGCGCCGGCGCATCTTGGGGTGTGTGATATCCTTGTTGAGCATCAGGCCGTCTAGGACCTGGCTGTCCTCAATCTCGCCACCGGGAACCTTTTCGATGCGCGCATAGCGCTTGACGTCGACCTCAGTGGTGCCGTTGCCGGCCTCCCAGGCGACGGTGCGAACGGCCTTGAGCGCGAGGTCGCACATCTGGTCCATCCAGCGGCTGACAAACTTGGTGCCGATGGACGAGGAAATGAGCTTGGCCATGGCAGCGTCGTCGTGGACGTCGATCGGGGTCGAGATTTCCTCAACGATTTCGAGGGCGTCTTGGAGGGCGCGCTTAAAGGCGGAAATGATGACGACGGGGTGGATGTTGCGCTCAAGCTGGGGGAGGGCCTGGGCCAGGATTTCACCAGCTTGGATTTTGTCAGTATGGGACGGAGCGCGGGGCAACGTGGAGGACGAGCTGCATACCGAGGATAATGACGGTCGTGGTGCCGTCGCCGACTTCCTCGTCTTGTGTGCGGCTGAGCTCAATCATGCTCTTGGCGGCCGGGTGGGAGACCTCGATCTCGCGGAGGATAGCGTGGCCGTCGTTGGTGAGGACGATGCCGCCCATGGGGTCGAGCAGCATCTTAAGCATGGCCTTGGGACCGAGACATGATCGAATAATGTCGGCAACTCTATATAGCAGTTCCTTGTTAGCAATGTTGGCCAGAGGTTGGCGGGTTCGGCGAAGTGGCGGTGCAGTGTGCGAAGATCGTCGACACGTACGTCTTGGCGGCGGCGATGTTGGAGAGCTGAGCTCTTCTTCCGGTCTGCCTGTCACCACCGGCATTGGTGTCTGCAGAGGTCAAACTGTCAGTATTATTGCCGTCTCAATTGTCCGGGTGCGATACGCTGCGAAAAGGGCGGCGCAGGCAGCAAAGCTGATACCGGTGGAGGCGGGCGCGGGGGGCAGCTCGCAAAAAAAGGATAATTTTTGGTGGGCACGTACTCATAACCACAACAGGAGCTTGCATGTTGGGCGGTGTTGCTTTCTTTGGCGGTGGATGGAGATTTTCAGGAAGCAAAGAATACGTCGGGGCCCAACAACACACGACAACGAGGAGGAGGGTGAAGAAGGATGCAAGAGATAGGGAGACGGTTGTGACAGGTTCGTGGAGGGGTGGTTTTGCAGGAGAAGGCGGATTGAAAGTTGGGGTGGGCCGCATCACGAAACTTTGCTAAGGCGGTGCTGATGCGAGGTACCCAGCGGCAGCTCCTTTGGTGCGGTTTTGGTGGGCGAGCTGGACGCGAGGTACATGGCAGTCAGCCCAGATCCAGCAGCTTCCATCTTGTCAGGGCTGTTGGGGCGGCGCACCAGCCTACCGCCATTGGCTGTTTGTCCGCTCCGACCCATAGAATAATTGGGGTCCCCTCGCCCACGTCGAAACAACAGGTATCTTCGCACGTAAGCAAGCCGCACAGGTACTTGAGATCTCGACAAGAAACACCATGACCGCCTCCGTGATAAGAACTCTCCAGCATCAATCACCGATCCCCCGTCTATCGGTAGCTGCAACACCCGCTAGTCTAATAAGCTGTCTTCCTTTCTATCATTCCCTCTTTTCTCTGATGTGTCTTGCTTGCTTCTTTTTGTTTGGTCTCAGCCATCCCATGCCCGTTCATCCCTCAAAAACGCCATCGCATCGGGGATTACCTCAGCCCCTAGCCCGCTCCAGTAACTAGGTTGTCGCGTGATGCCCAAAAGGGCATCCTGTTCAGCCGATATCTCACACTCGTCTTCAGCCTTCAATAATCTACTTGGTGCGCTATCAGCTCACCTCCGCTCGCCGGATACTTCTTCCCCCGTCTGACCCGCTGCCACATGGCCGATACCACCGGCCTATTCCATCTCGGAAAAGGCTGGGCCGAGGCGTAGCGTTGCGGAGGGATGCATATGTGCCCTACTTGCTCGTAAGCAACCAACATCAATAATACCTCCACGAGTTTAGTGCCGATTCCCATCAGTTTGGTTCAACGATGGGTAGGTGACGAGTTACGGAGTGACGTGCACCCGCGATCTGTAAGTTGGCCACCATCAGTCTCGTACAGTGAGTGGCAACATGTATTTGTCCCCTATTAAGTATTTGACCTATCCCTACGAAAGGAAGAGACACGAGATAGGCAAGATGCGAGATGCCTAAGATACCCAAGATAGCTAAGAAAGGCAAGATACCGAATAGGGGACAACTACATGTTGCCGCCGACGATACGAACGCGTCTGTCGTGTAACGCACCTATACTTGGAAACCAAAATGAATTTGCTGCAAAAAATGTAGTTTACGCTTCAATTTAGAAATAAGGCAACAAAATGATCTAGTCCAATGCGCTGTATGCTATTTCCCAGAGCACGCTCTCCCGACGCCCAACGCCACCTGCCTCCCCAAACGCTCCGGCCGCGGTATCCGGGTTTTGCATCACGAACCGCCATCAACCACCGTTTCTACATCATCAGCTCCCTTTCCCACACCTTCAGCATCATTCTTCGACATCGCCCCTCGCGAGCCCTTAGCCTTCGGCCACGGCCACCACCCCAGCAACGGCGCGTCGTCCGTGATGGCGCTGAAGCAGGCGTCATTGTTCTCGCTGTCAAACCTGTACACCCATCGTCCCTGTCGATCCTTCGCCGCCGCGAACCGCACGTTGTCCAGCGTCAGCCGGCCCGGCCTAAACTCGCGTAGCGTGCGGACGGTCCGCGCGTGCACCCTCAACGTCCCGCGCCACAGCGGCATCGACCCCTCCTCCCCGTCGCCATCGCCCGTCCCGTCGACGAGCTCGTAGTGGCGAAAGTGCGGGAACCCGAGACATGCTGGTCCGCGGGGCCTCGCGGGCTCCTGGGGCGTCGAGGAAAAGTAGTTCTTGGTCGGGTCGATGTCGCGCACGGTCCAGAAGAGGCCGCGGGAGAGCAGGGCGGGCAGGTCGGTGACGTCGAGGCAGAGCTCGGCGTGCCAGGCGACGGCGGCGGACACGGTTTTGCGGAGGGGCATATACTCGGCGGTGCTGGGGTCGGCGAGTAAGAGGAAGTTGACGCTGCCGCCGCAGGACGAGGGCCGGCAGGTAGAGGCGGTCGAGGACGAAGGACCGGAGGAAGAGGAGCTGGCGGATGAGGAGGAGTCAGGACCGTAGTAGGATCCAGGAGCGGATTCGTACTCAGAGAGATCGGGCGAGCCGTAGGCGGAGTCGGGACACTTGGCAGTGTCGGGTGCGCTGTGGATTGTCTCTTCGGCCATGATATCGATATGGGTGTCCTGGAACGGAAAGAATAGATTGAGACTCAAATGCTGTTCAAAGCATCTATGGACGGGGATACCACATTCTTGGGATGGACTGGCTCCGTCTGTTTATGTGCCTACACTGAAAGGGTGCGAAATGGGACAAGGAAGGTGTGGTCAACATTGATCTACCCAAAACAAAACTTCCATTGTAGCTGCCTTTCTATCGTAGCCAGACTATTTTATACATCAATGGAAGAGTAACTTCTTCATCACCCGCTTGGGACTTGTTTCAGTCCGCAAATAATTCACAACATTCTGGTCCACCAACATGAGTCCAAGAGAGTCCCTTTCCAGCCATTTAATTATCCTACAATACTTGAACTCATCCTCAACTTCCATGATTCCTATGCTTTCCACTTCACAGCTCGTGTGACGGGGACGACAGTTTGTAGCCCGCTGTTGGCGTGTCGTAGCAGCGTGGTTTCAACGAACGCAAATCTGTATCGGGGAGCTTTTCGAACTTCAGTTGAGGGCCGTCAGCAAGCCCCAGCAGGGACTGCAGTCTCTGGCTTTGATCTACCCTGCATTGTCTGCGTTAGCATCGCTGGGAGGTCTCGCACAATCACGTGCTGCGTTGAGAGACGTTGCAACTCACGTGCGGCGCGTTCCATTTTCCAAGCTCATGTACCATTCCTCCTCCTCTTCTTCGGGGTCTCGGGGAGTCTTGTAGCCGAAATCATTCGCCAGTTTCTCTGGCTTGGGCAAACAGTCCGATACGTTCTTCATCGTGACGTTGTCCACCTCAGGGCCGGCTAGCTCCAGGGGAAACAGGCGATCGAATTCCTCAGGATTCTCTCGGAGGCGTCTGCCAAGATCCATTGCCACGCCCTGCAGTAGTATCTCCCCCACAGAAATGGGCCTGCACGGCTTCGTGGTGGAGGTAGAGTTTAGTTTGCCTCCGAGCTTATCCAGCATGGCCTTGATGGGAATCTTTTGCTCGGTAGCCCGGTCCTCAAGTCCTGGCGGGGAACAGGTTTGGGAGCGGTTGGGAAGAGAGTTTTGCTCAGTATCTCGGTGCTCGAATCCTGGCGGAGGACATATTTGGGAGAAACGGAGAGGAGATGGCTGCTTAGCAGCCCGAGACTTGAATCCTGGCGGAGGACAGAGCTGGGAGCGACGGAGAGGAGATTTGCCTTTAGCAGCCAGGTGCTCGAAGCCCGGAGGAGGACAGATTTGGAAGTGGCGGAAGGGAGATTTCCGCTTGGTAACCCGGTTCTCGAAACCTTGCGGAGGACAGAATTGGGAGCCGCGGAGAGGGGCCCGACACTTCGGCAGAGGCTTCCGTTGCTTCATTTCCAGTTGATTTGGTAGAGAATCCTGCTCCCTTGGGGGCAGTTGGGTTGAGAACGGCTGCTTTTTGGTGGCCGGGGATTTGTTTCCCGCCTCGCTTTCCAGGCTATCGAGCGATCCTTCGGCCATAAGGACGGAGGCTCAACAGAGAGAAGTCGCGTTGACGAAAGGAGAGAAGTAATTGATCCGCTGTTTAGATGGATGAAGGAGGATCAGATCCTGCAGCTGATTTGCAGGAAAGCAGCAAACGTGAATGTGGTGAAAACGAGTGGCAGCTGACAGCTGGCAATACAAACAGAATCGATGAATATGCGTGGGCGACATCCTTCTTCGTTTGGGGCAGGCTCTCTTTGATATACCTGAGCTTCCATTTAGTAAACTTTCGGTTTATTCCCCAACGTTCGGGAAGTTGGTGATACACTTCACGCTTGTGCTATTCTTGAAGCCAAAGTCACGGTAGGTAGCAGGTTGTAGCCAATCGCCTGCGTTGCTTTGCACGGCAACAGGCATCCGCGATACAGACAGTGTTGAAAAATATTCCTCTTCCAAAAGTAAAGGGTTGGTTCGCGTTCAACCGGTCTGAATGTCATCGTCATCTCTTCCTTGCTGGAACCTTCCAAGCTTTCGAACGCGTCTTGCACCCGCCTGATAGTATGTGCCTGAGGACATCACGTTTACGCAGCGAGAAAACGTTCAACTAACTTCAGCGTTGCTCGTAGCTTCTTGAATTAGCGTAAAGAGGAAGAAGGACCTGATTGTGCCTGTCACGCCCATCGCTCAGCTCAGATCGGCCTCTGAAGCGCGTCAGTTCTCATATCAGGACTTACCCTATACTCACTTCAGTGTGCACCTCCCTCCCAAGCGATGCCCCCATCCTTTGGATGCCACGTCGCGCACGTTGGAGGTTCATGCTGCGTTCTAGAAGCACTAAGACAATTACCGAGCCCCTGCGCATCCCGTAAAGAAGACGTCCCCATCGCTCCGTGTACACGTTTCAAGGCCCGCCGCACCCCGCATAAAGGCCCAAAGAAACCAGCGACCTCAGGCTAGCCAATGAAGCACCGCTGCCGAGACCAAATCGTCTGCAGAAGACTTTTTATTTTGTCCCTATTTATTTCTTCATTTTCTTTTCATAAATTTAAGGACTTTCTGCCGAAAAGGCATTGAAGTGCATGAGCTACTGAGAATGTCTCATCTCGTCTTGCCTTCGGGTGCCCAAAACCGTGGCACGTTCAGCCAATGGCTAGCGTGCCGCGAGAATCAGGCGAGAATTGGCTGATCCGGGCTCAACAGACATTTCTTGTTTCTGATCCAATGCCGAGGAAGAGGGACAACGGGAGAGCGCGAAGTAGAAGCAGCACCGCCTGTCTGGATTGGGCGCCAACGCTGGGCCTGGAGCGGCATCGTGACGTGGACAGACGGTTCGCTTAGAGGGGCTACGAATGACGGCAAAAGCACGAAGCACGGGACTTTTCGTCCAATGGCAGGTGTCAAAAATACCGATAGGTCAAAAGTGAAGTCAATAAACATGTATATTCCTTTTTTTCAACAAAGTCACGCCAGGAAAGGATCCGAGCGGCGAGAACCCCCGCGGATCGTAGTTGTGGTGGTTGCTTTTTTGGTGAGGAGGTTCTTGGCACCTGAGACATGCGGGAGGATGCTTGCCAAGGATCGTGGGTGTAAGGTGGGCAAAAAAGCAAAGCCTCCGACACTACTGCGGAAACGAGAGCGTCTTGTCGAAAATGTTTCGATGCATGGAGAGGACGAATTGGAAGGGATCGAAGCAGAGAGATGGAGAGCCTGCGCTGGTTTTCTTCTTTGTTTTTGTCCGGGCAGGTTAAGCGCTTTCTGGGGATTGGATGTCGGCGTACGCATGCATGCATGCATACACAATTCCGCTCGGTCGAGATTCGAGTCGCCGTGACCGGACTCAGTTGGGCCAGGGTGAGGTTGTATCCAAATCAATTCGGTGGATTTAATGTTGAGCAGGTAGATGTTCTGTTGCCTGAGGCAGAACGGATTGCTTGGCAAGCATAAATCCTCATGGTGCAAGTTTTATGAAGACTGCATTAGTCTGGGGTGTCGAAAGAGTTTTACAGACGGCACACCTAGGACCGGAAAATAAATCGAAAGCTTTTATTAATACTATACGACAAATATATTAGGATGATATTAAATGAAAAAGGTGATAATTAAAAAATTGGGTTGAACATTCCGAACAAACGCCCAATCCTAGGTGAAAAAAGCGGAATTCACAAACAAGTCTTAGGCGGCGGTGCATTCGCCGCCTCCAGGGATCATCTTTTACACCTATTCATAACTCGGGATCCGTACCTAGTATCCGTACTCCGTATTTATCCTCCCGCAGAATAGAACGTGGGCCTCACCCGCTCCATTTCATGAGACCAGTTTCCACGACACCGCCTGAGCTTAATGGAGCGGTGTTTGTAACATCGTGGCCACTCTCTCACCATCCTCCGCCAGGGCCGGGGTTCACGCAAGACAACAATGCGGCTCGGGAAAAGCGATGCAAGAAAAAGAGCCGGGTGATTCCGCGATTGGTTACGATGGTGCGTCTTTGACTCTCTTCTATGGAGAAATTCGTCTCCATCATGAACGGAGCCCGTGTTGTACGTGTATGGATAAAATGTTGAAACACAGGGCCTGCGCAGCGCAGTGAACAGTTGGTGGGCCGCGAGGCTCGACGGCTTCAGGTTCTCTCGTCGCAGGACATTCATTGATCAATGCGTACGGGGGGTTGTTGACTACATGGATTCGGACTGGCTGAGCGTGAATCACGGTCTTGCTCGTATCATCATTCATCTCGGTTGAAAAAAAAAAAAATCGTACCGATACCGGGGCTGTGAGATTGGCCTCCGCCTCTCGAAAAAACCACCTTGATGTTTTTTATCCTTGATCACGTCAAAACTGTCTGTGCAGAGCCTGAGTGGGTTAAATTCCGCGCATGTGAATCCAAGGGGAGAAAGAATATTTCCTTTCCAACGCCCGCTGTCTGAGACGACGGTTGTGATCGTATCCCCAGCTGAAAGTGTCAGCGTGCCGGACTCGGCGAAGAAGTCAGGGACGTCGCTACCCCACTGCAGCCCTTCGAATTTGTTCCGCCTCAGCGCTTGGATGCTGTCAGCCTCAACTTTGGAGGCTTGTTTGTACGCAACAACATAACCATGAAAATCGTCCAGGGCGTGGGTTGGCTGCTGCTACGCTGCCTCTGACATGGGACATGGCATAGACATGTTGCCGTCATGACAATACATACATCACAAACGAGGAATCCAACGAGGTTCATATATCAATTTGTAGAAAAGACTGTTCATATTGCATATTGTATTTACACAATTCGTCTGCGTCTCCATATAAGCGCAGCAGCCCATAGGCACTTCCAGCAGGCCCTGGTACCGGGACCACGACCTTGACTGTGCCGTATGCCTTCTCAGAGGCACCACTGCTGGCAGGTCTCCCCGTCGGGTACGCAGATGGACTTGCAGTTATTTCCGCACCAGGTGCAGCTGCCATGCTCGCGGGCGTAGCAGCTCCCGTCGCCGATGGTGCAGCGGCCGCCGAGGTGGACGCACTCGCGGCATCGCTTCTCCACGCCGAGCTGCTCGTGTGCCTTGAAACAATCACTTTAGTTTCCTCGCGCCCCTGCTTTCAAAATTGGGGAGTGAATTTTTGGTAGATTGACGTACGACTTCGCGGACAAAGGTCATGCCATCGCGTTCGGTGACTTCGACACCCATGGGGAGGTCAGAGGGGCTCGCCGCAACACCGGAGATGGCGGCAAAGACCAGGGTAGCTACTGCAATGAAGTTTGTCATCATTTTGCGCGCTCTTGATTTGAATTTGAAGAAGAAGATGCTGTTGCTTTGTTATTCTCAAAATGTGACGGGCAATGTTGTGGCTTTATACTTTGATCCGGTAGCTGACGGACTCATGTTGTAGCAAATCACAAGGAAATCAGGCTCAACCTCAGTCATTTCGGTGTGGCTTGCAGCATGTCTCACAGGGACTTCTTGTAAGTTGAATCCTTCGATAGAATAGGTTGTAGTGTCAAAACATGCGTGGCTAGGAGCTGTTGTGCTAGGCTTGAGATGCCATGGCAGAGTCTGTCTCCTTATTGCGAGGCATCAGCTGGATCCGGTCTCTGGCCAGTGGCAATGGATATTAACGAGGTCGCCCTTTCTTTACATTATAGAATTATTTCAAATGTCAATTTGAACTCATACTGTCTTTCTGATCATAGCTCCTCGCCAGGACATCAACCTTCCCTTCTCGTTCAATGTCATTGCTCTCTCATTCCTAACAGAGTAATGAGCAACGTTCCACCATCACACAACACACATGTCATCAAACAGAGAATTGATCAGGCTGTAGCTGACCTTGCATTATGACATCGGTCGGTCTCACCCCGCGTTTGGGAACGTCTCGGGCCGTCGGATATGGATCCGAAGGGCGGCGGTAAGCCCCGTGCCGTGTTGCTCGTTTGCTCCTGGCGCACAATCTGTTGACGTAAAACTTTCAGCCATAATGCAGTGTGTCAGCACATTCCCTGACAATGACATCAAAGAAAGGCATTATGGTGCGGAATTGAGGGCCGATGCATGACGCTCGGTGAAGCTGCTTGGGGAACTTACTGTTAGCGTAATGGGTGGCTGGCTGCAGTCTCGGCAACGGTGCCTTCTTCGTTTATTTTCGCGTTTTTGGAGGTCATGTTATTTTCATGATTTTCTTCCGGCATATATCTGCTTTTTTTTCCGCGCCCACGTCCCGACCTGCACGGCATCGGGCTGTAGGATGGAATCTTGCTAGCGGACCATGCACGACCAGGCTAGCCGTGACGCATAGAGTCACTCCATCGATACCTTTCCAAAAAAAAAAAACCTCCAGGACATGTATTGTTGCTTGGAGATTTCCGCTGAGACTTCTTCTTTTTGAGGTTGTATTTGACTAAACGTCTGATCTCCTAAGCTAATTAGCTTATTTCCTGGGCTTATTTCCCCTGGCTGACAGATCTTGGCCAGCGTGCTAACGACGGGGCTGGGTGGATCCGGTAACGCGGTAGGGCGAGCTCTGAAGGGGGGATGGCTCGCTGGCTGATGGTGCCAAGTGCTGTAGTGCCCGCCTAGGCGATAAGCGAATCGGGCAATGCTGTGCTGGTACAAGAGCTATGTGTCGTGGTTAAACAACTTTCAACGGGTAGTGCACAGCCGGCATTGATATCTGCAAGACAGGAGAGAAAAACGGACGACGAAAGCCTTGTAAAAGCAGTGACTATTTTTTGTGCAACGTACCGCCGCGTCGTCAGCATGCGGCCTGACACGTGACGCTAGCAGGGGAGCTGAGAAACGTTGCTATGTATGTAAGCACTGTGATGCAATTGACAGGCCGCAGCCTGATCTCCTTTCTTCATTTGGTTGGTCTCTCTTTCCTCACAGCAGCCAAGATGGCGACCAGATCAACGGGCAGACTCATTCTCGGCCTCGTCTTCCTCGCCTTCATCTGGCTGACGCTGCTGAGTCCTGACCCCTACAGCCGCGGCCTGCACGAGATTCGCACCACCGTGTCGCTACCGCCGCTCGACTTCCTCCAGGCCTCGTTTCCAGAGCGAAGCAAACAGCATGCCCAATACTACGCGTCGCAGGAGGCACGCGATTTCTGCGCCGCGCATGGCTATTCCGTGTTTAAGCCGCTCAGCTCCACAAACGAACGCAAGGTGTATGATCTCGTCATGGTCAATTCGGAGCTCGACTTTCTTGAGATACGGCTCGACACGCTGTATAAGTACGTCGACTACTTTATCATCGTCGAGTCACCTAAGACGTTCCAGGGCGATAAGAAGCCGCTCGTCATTAAGAACAACTGGGCCAGGTTTAAACGCTTCCACGACAAGATGATTTACCACGAATTAACGTTTCCGCGATCTTTTAACCCACACCGCGCCTGGGACTACGAAGACTTGCAGCGAGACGCCATGTACTCGCAGGTCATGCCGGGGCTAACGGGCCACCAGGCGCCGGCCAAGGGCGACGTCATGGTCGTTGCCGATGTTGATGAAATCCCGCGAGCAGAGTCGCTCCTCGTCCTACGGTCCTGCAACTACCCGCGCCGCCTGACCCTCGGGTCTAAATTTTACTACTACTCATTCCAGTTCCTGCACGACGGGCCGGAATGGCCGCACCCACAGGCGACCTACTACCAGGGCTGGCGGACGCTGAAACCGACCAACCTACGCAACGGCGACGGCGGGTTTCGCCCGACCCGCGGTAGGGAGAAGGGCACCCTGGCCAACGCGGCGTGGCACTGCAGCAGCTGCTTCCCTACGATTGCGCAGTTCCTCAACAAGGTTGCCAGCTTCTCCCACGTGTGGATGAACGATGAGGAGTACCGTAATAGGGATAGGATTGCGAACGCGGTGCGCGAGGGCAAGGACGTGTGGGAACGAGAGCAGGACACGTTTACGAGGATTGACGCGAACAAGGACATGCCGGCGCTGGTGAAGCAGCAGCCGGAGCGGTTTGGCTACATGATAAGTCGGGATGGGCCGTCGGCCGGATTTACAGACTATCCTTAATAACGAAAGGGACGAAACGAAGACAATGTTCACGTATTCGTGATGATCGGATTGAAGCAGGCTGACGCATATACATACCTGGGCTTAATGATGGACAACGGGACACACTTGTTTGTTGCCCGGCAGCTGAGAGGAAAATGAACTGCCGGAAAAATTCTTGTTTGAATAATGCATACAATACCAGAATTCAAATTACGAACTGAGTTGCAGAATAAGGCTGCGTGACCTAGTTGACGACGTACGTTTTGGTTGATGGTGTTCGACGAGCACCCGCGGTGTGCGGCCGTGACGATCTGCTGGCTTGTTCTGTGGAGAGGGGGATTTGCAACACCTGCATAGCAGCTCTCTCCAGGCTGGGTATTCGATGTACTCTCCGTCACCGTATGTCGGGCTCTGAATATAGATCTCAAAAGCGCAACGCGCATCATTTGGAAATGTGTTAAGCGCGGCGGCAGCAGATTCCATCAAGTTCCTCGATCTACACCATCTCACAAGGATCGGCGGCCCGTTCGGGTTCGGCCCAGGACCACCAACAGCCCTAGTCCAAGCCAAGGCACCAGCGTTTTGCTTTGACTCGACCACTAGGCGTTAGCAGGCAGCAGCTATTCTTTTCAGCTTCATGCGACTCTGCATTATTACCGAGATTTTTCCTCTTTAAGAATGAAACAAGGCCGGCCCCCAAGCTAGCAGCATACTAGGGAATGCGTGCCCTGTATCAGAACGGGAACCTCGGAACCCGGGCGGAATAGCAGGGAGGAGAGGTTCATCCTGCCCTTGTTGGGGGCAAAGGGGGAAAAAAAAAGAAGAAAAAAAAATGGTCTACAAAGGAAATGTCTTCATCCCTAGAAATGTCACCACAGCCAGTTGCAGTTATCCACCACGTGTTCAGCACAAAGACATGGCTTTAATTAATCTACAACGAATGCTTTCCCGCGCCTGGCGTCCCGGTACACGCGCTCATCTTACCCCGTCTCCATCCCTTTTTTGAAGAAAATTCTTTTTCCCTAACCCTGGCCAAGTCTAGCTAGCGCCCACTAGATCCGATCCCGCAAGAATTTCCCTTCTTACCGCCTTGCAGGGGTTGGCCGTGCCGCCGCCATCCCTCCCGCTTCGATATTATTGCGTGGGAGAATAGGCGTAAACTTGTTGCAAGGAACAAAAAGCTGCTGCCTAGTTAGACCAAGGGTCCTGACCTACTAGCTCGCGTGTCCCCTTGCCTTAGTAGCCAGGTACGAACGTGCAAAGGAAAAGTCGAGAACGTCGCAAATGAAAGGGGCCGCATGTTCATGCCTTTATGCTCTTCCAACTTTACCCAGAAACCTAAAAAGTTCATAGCCAACGTGATATGCCGGGCCAAGCCGCCTGCTTGTTGGCTGTCCACTTGTTGTACAAGTCACCTCGTTTCAGCCACATATAACACGTATGTAGAGCAGGGAATAATCAACGCTGATCTCGCCGTCCGATTCGTCCGCCCCCAAGGAATTCTGTTAATGCCGCAATAACACGCAACGGACAACGCATCCGTTTCACCCACCGTAATAAACACGCCGCAGTCTTTTGCGTAACGGTCGAGCCGTGTTGGACTCGCGAGCGAAGAGTCTAGATCGGAGGGGCGGAGGGTCAGATCTGTTTCGGGGGGCCGCCTTTTTGTCCAGACCAGCCTATCATGAGGGTCATTAGAAGATTTGCGTAAAGACAATTGGGGGTTTCGTCGTGAGCACGTTTTGTTTTTTTTTCCCCGCTGTTTGAGAAACCTCGTGTCATGGTGACGTTGAAGTGTTGCCACAGAGCCATCGTCGCAGTGCAGGTAGGGAGAGAGACCTGATGCAAGGCCCATCTTGCTGTGCAATTGCGACGGTTATCCTGGAAAATTGGGTGTTGTTTTTTCTCTTTTTTACAATTCATTTTTTTTATTTTACAAAAAGTAGCATGGTTATGTACGAGATTCTAATAAAAGAACCAAATAATAGAAATAAATCACTCGTCAAGGAGGATAATACGTGGATGCGGGACGGATTGGACATTAACCGGCACGGAGCCAACTGCAAGGGAGAGTTGGGGGACGTGAGAGGACGGCTATGCAGGGTCCCAAAGAAACTTCAAGGGGACGCGAGGAGAGCAGCGAAATTGGACGAATCGCACTGCAGTTCTGGTCATCAAGTCACGCCTCGCGGACCTCTGTACGGACCCGAACAACGTCGCTGCGTTACTAGAACTTCCCTGAGCATTGGGCTGCGATGCGTCGAAGCCTCGGGCTCACACTGGTTCAACCTTTGACGGGCTGCATATTACACGTTACTCTGCAACCCGACCCGAATGTGCCTACCTACACACGTAAGCAACGTTCTCTTAGCTGCATGCTGAGTAACGTATGTATGGCCCGTTGCGACGGAAGCCCAACGTTTTGTATGCATCCTCCTGGCTTCGGCAAGACTGCGGCAGGTCGCCAGTGTTAGTGCTGGCCTCGGTATGGATGGTCCCAGTCGCAATTTGCCTCATTTTCTGTTTTATTAAGCCATTGTTTTTTTTTTCTTTCCAACTGAAATCTATCATCTCTCCTTTTCAATCTAGCGTCCGTCCCATTCTCTTTCCCGCTCGGTACTCGCACCCGCCCGTCCGTCCGTCCGTCGCTCATCCCATCCCATCCCTCATCCCCGCCAAGTTTTACTTTGGCCCCCAGTGAAAATTTTCTCCTCCTCTAACAAACTCTAGGTCTAGAGGCCTGTTACGGTCTAGGCCAAACGGGCCAAATCTACAATCCCGCAAAATCTATCCCTCGTTCGATTTTGAATTTATTTTTAATTTTATACCGTCCCCCCATCCCACCCGTCTGGCATTTCTTAGCTCAAGTTTAAAATTTTGGTGTATCTTTTTTCTTCCCTGGCACTTGGACACGCCCCCCCACGGACTAGGCCGGACGCCATGGCATGGTCTGGCTGGTCTGGCTGGTCTGGCCTCCTTTGATGCCTAGAACGAGTTTTTCTTGCGTTGGAGCTGAACGACGATGGCGCATTGGCCGTGCGTGCCAGGACCAACTTGGAATTCCAAGGGATGAAATTTTTCACTCCCTCCTGAACAAATTGAGTTTTTTTTTTTTTTTCACGCTGTAGCGCAATTAAACCCCCTTCCCTTTTACAGTTTACACGCGACCAGTCAGCAGAGCCGAGTGTTTCGGCCGACGGGATAAGAGCCGGACAGATGCGGATATCCATGGCTGAGAGTGAGAGACAAACCTTGCTGGTCCATGCTTTTCGTTCTTCCAACTAGGAATTCCTTCCCTAGTTATTATTTCTTTTTTTTTTCTTTTAATTCTGTTTATCAACGCATTGCACGTTTCAAGAGAACAATCATGCTACAGGGCAGTGTCTTGCGCCCTACAGCTTACGCTACTTCTTATTCGTCACCACTGGGGGGAGGCGGCCTCACTGCATCAATAGTAGACGAATAATAATGTTCAGCAGCAAAAAGTGACAGAGTAGAAAAAAAAGAGGCTCTCCTCCACAAACCGTACACGTGTATGGATCCAACATCGCAGACACTCGAGGTGAGATGCTACGAGGACGGGGTCGAATGACGCGATGCCGCACGCTTGGAATGCGACGCTGCCCAAACACGAGCAATAAATTTCTTCCAAATTGTTTCCTACCTTTCTTTTTTCTCTTCCCTCCATGAAGGACTCGTAATATCAATTGAATAAAAAAAAAAAGACCCTTCATCATGTAATCTGACAGCACTGATCCCTGACTGAACCCATGCTCACCGGCTATGCACACTGGCCGTGATTTCTTGTGGTGCCACACACAAGCCACTGTGCATCGACAGCAGACTTCCAGAACAGGAAATTCACATCGGGCGCCACCACATTTGTGTTACCCGGTCATCTTTTTGCCTCTGCAACGTAAGAAAAAATGTTTTCGACTTGTCGTTGTCTAGTGTAATCTTGTTTGAGGCTGCCAATGCCCATTCTTTCCTCATGGCGATCCCCCTTGAAAGGGAAAATTTTTCTAATGTGAACCCTTGCTCCCGCAATCTTGTCCAGTGCATCGAGATCCAGTAACGGCCCCGCCTCGTCACAGTCATCATTCCACGCCCTTCTCTGACAGTACCTGTCAGCACAACTTTTAATGCATACAATGTCTCATACCCAGACAATCAAGGATAAAAGTTTTCACAGATATTGCAATCAACAAAGTATGTAGTCATCAGAGCGAGCAAAAATGCTGCTTGCGTGTGTTCCATTCATTCTCTGCTAGTTTTCATAAAGAAGCACTTCCCGCGCCGGGGAGTAGCCTGCCCAATTTCATAATAGTAAAACACCCGCCATGTGCTGCTGAACAAGTGTCTGTCAACTCCTCCTGTATGCCTGATGCACAGAATGAACCCCTGGGGGTAATGCTGCTCCAGTCAATAAAACAAAAAGACCCCCCAAGTAAACTCCAGATACCGTTCGACGCTGCCGAGTTTCTCTCAGACACACGTCCATCGGTGATTGCCCCCGACAAAAGAAATAGAAATGTCAAATAGGATATTATAATGAACAACATGATTTTGCTTTTTTTCTTGGTATGCAGGACGCCGTTGTAATGCCCGTCTTGGTACAACAAATTGGTCGCTAGGAAAACAGTGTGGAAAAGAGTCGGGATTGTAGTTGTGGTTGTCGATTTTGTGATGTAGTTGATGAGAGTGAGTAGGGTATGGCGTGAGGTTATGTGGTGTGGTATTGTATCGTGTCGGTAGTTGGTGGACAACGGTCCAGTGGTGTACAGTAGTGGAACAATGCCTTTTTACTGAGATCGTCTTCGTTGCAGGCGGACCTGTTCAAAGGAGACGGCATACGCCTGAAGCTCCTTCTTGACACCGTCAGACAGTCGGGAGGCGTCCGAGGCGTTGCTTTGCATGGAGCAGAGGCTGCTGTGCGAGCTCGAGGGCGTCAGCTGGCGGATGGGAAGAGACGACGGCTGGGCGGGCAAGCGGTCAGAGCGAAGTCCTGAGTAGTACCCAAGCAGCGGCTTGGCCGTGGGTGTCGTGCCGTATGGCTGGGCGTTGCTGAAGTCGTAGGCAGGAGAGAGGTAGAACTTGGAGGCGCCGCGGGAGGTGTAGCGGCCGCTGCTCGAAGGAGCTGACGAAGCTGTCGACCAAGGGCCGGAGGAGGGAGCGAAGCCAGGAGAGCTGGCCTGGGAGGACGGTGATGAGGGCGACTTCTCAAAGTCGGCGAGGCGGCAGGACTCGGAGCAGTAGGCATCGGCGTCGTGAACCTGCTTGTCGCAGGCCAGGCAGTACTGGTGGGTCCAGAGATCGAGGCTCATGATGACGGATGTGGTGGTGGTGATGTGTAGTTGAGTGTGTATGTGTGCGAGATGTAGTTGTAAAGAGGGACGTTGCCAATGACGTTGACAATGTCTGTCGACCGGCCAAGACAAAAAACGGTTGTGGTGGCAGTCGAGATGCTGTCGAGGTTGGTAGGCGGAAGAGCTGGCAGCAAAGCTTATAGCAAGACAAGGAGCAAGCGGTGCAACCTTCTTGTGTAGGTTGATTGTAAGGAAGGAAAGGAAAGGAAAAGCTGAGGGAGGAAAAAGTGTTCAAGTTGTTGTTGCTGATGAAGGAAGAAGAGGTCGATGGGGAGAGGATCGAGGATGCAAGAAGAGGAGGGCAGTGGCATGTTAAAGTAGTGTGAGGTCTGTCTGGCTGGCTGTGGCAGCTGGCAGTGCGTGCTCGTGGTGGTACAAGCAAGTGGGCATGGGAAGTGGGCTGCGGGCTTGCGGGTCCCTCCTTGGGTGGTCAGGATGTGGCCTAGGACGACAAGGTTTTAGCGCTCCTTTGGAGTTGCGTACCTGCCTCCCGTCATGCGCTGGGTACAACGAATTTTTTTCCTCAGCAAGAAATAATCGCCAGGCAGCACGGGAGAAAGCGTTAGTACGGATGAGGCAGTGATGGTGACAGCGCTAGCAAACGCCAGGCCAAAGAGGTAGCGCTGTGGCAGGGGTGGGGCACCGCAGTGGAGACAAGGAAAAAAAGGGAATAATTCAATTAAAGAAATAAATAAAAAATAGAGCCAAGCTGGGCTAAAATAGAAATAAAAATAAAACCACGGGGGCCCACAAGCAGCATGCCCTGCCAGCAGCCCAGCAGAACACAGTCTGGCCAACCAGGGGGCGTGGCTCTCTGTGGGGTGGGCAGTAGATCGCTGGGGGAGGGGGGTGCAGGGTGTGAGCTATGCGCTTGGGTCCAGCTCTAGAATTATGCAGTTGGCAAAAGCGTTCTTGCACAAAAATTTTCCCAGTCAACTGGTTCACAACTCCTGCGGCGAGGCCGGCTGTGGTGTCTGGACTACTCCTTTCCAGGCAGTACAGCCAGCCCCAAGATGGAAGAAACCGCATGATGTAGACGAATTTGGAATGGGACAAAATTATGCCAGAAAAAAAAATAGAGCGAGAAAAAAAAAATTGCGCTGTTCACGCAAACCCTCCTTGACGACATTTTCTCGCTCAGTGGTGTGTTTTGGTGGGCAAAACACGCAAGCCTGCCAAACTTTAGCGCCAGCTGGTACGGACTCGTGACTTGGCTCTGCACTGAGGTGCTAGGCATGCAGTAGGTACCCCTCCCTTCCCTTGCGCCGCATGGCGAGTTGCAGGCGTAATCGACGTCCTGCCATGGCGACCCAGTGTGAGGTGATGACTGCAACATGGTGCAATTCCTTGTCCACGGAGCTGTTTTCGTATGCTGAAACGGATTCGCAATTCCACCCGTCCATCACCCATGTACCTATGCCGCGAGGAAATGGCAAGGCATATACCTAAAATTCCCGGCTATGGCGCCACCTGTCAACCGCCCGTCCGGTCGCCGCACCACCCCGGCATCGGCGGGAGCGTTTGCTCATGGCATGATGGCTGTGACTGGGACTTGTGCAATGCAAATTCCAAACACGTATCCGTATTGGCTTTCTTGTTCAATGTTGAAAAAAAATTTCCTTTCTTTTTTTCAATGCTCAAATCTCCCCTCTGCCTACTCGCTTGGGGACCGTGTGGTGTCCTGTGCATGCAGACAGAGTCGCCTGGTCTCTGCCTCGTCATGCAAAGCTGTACATATGAGTGTCTTCGCCATACATCAAGGTACATGCATGGCGCATGGCAACGAAACACGCACCAGTATCCTATTGTCCGTTGCGTTTACTTTTGCTTCTTCTTCTTGTTTGTTCCAATTTCGCCCCGTGGCTTGATATCTGCATGCATGCACGGATCCATCTGCTGCTGTGGCCTCGCCTCGCCTCGCCGCGCGAGCTGCCTCCTCCCTTCCGCTCTCCGGCGAACACCCATCATCACCAAACCCATCGCTGTGTGTGACCGAGCAACGAACGACGCTCATGGAAACACGAGTGACTGACTTGTTGACCCACCGGCTCCAAAAGCAAGATTATCAGTAGCTTTCTTCCTCTACTTCTTCTTCTTCTCTTTCTTTAGAAAAAACCCACCACACTTGGAATGCATGCATTCTGCGACGTCTTGGCAGCCCATGCCCACACAAAGCTGCACACACACAGACACAAGGCAGCGAGACATTCACTCTGCCCTCATCAACACGCCCATGTGTCTTGGGCCAGTTTCTCGGTCATGGGCCTTACCCCCAAATGTCTCTGAACTTGCTCACACCTATTTTGCTTAGATTCCGCGCGCTGGTGCTGGTGGCGACTTTCCCTGGCACCCAATCATCCACCATCAGCCCCAAGCCACCCACCACCATACCGTTTCCCAGTGCTGCGCCCATCTTGGTGACGGACATTGTCTAGTCTGTAATAACAAGGATTTGCAACTGAGATTTTTTTCTCGTCTCAGTTGCCCTGTCCGTCTAGTAGCCTTGAACCCTGTTCTGCCGCGCTCCTAACTCCGTATGGCTGCCTCTGCGATTCCGCCTACCGGTTTCTCATCTCAATCTCCTCTTCGTGTCTTTCCGGGGGGGAGTTTCCTGGTGCAGCACGACATGATCGGTTCAAAGACTGCCGATGGATGTCTCTTATGGTGTGTTGCACTCGAGTTCTAGGTCAAGCAAATTTCACCTGCAGCTGTACGAAAAACTCTTGGGAAGCGATTTTACCTTCGCCACCTTTGATGACACGGGTCGGTTATCATGCTCCCCATCGACTTGCCAATCTACGACCTATCGGCTGTGCATCTACCCATCTGTTACTACCCATCGTTTCCCACTGTTTTGTCACGACGCAGAGCCTAGATCGGCGCAGTTGCGTCAAGGGTTCGCCGCTTTCTGTGGCCCCCTGCCACCCCTTCCAACTGCCCGGCTCTCGACCGACGTAGAAAAACTTGTCCACGGGTGTCGCCACTGAAACAATCAACTTGCCCAATTCTAACCATTTCGCGGTAGACGCTGGAATGCAAATATTTTTACTTTGCGGACCGTTTCATCCTGCTGATCACTAGCGAATGGCTAGTACTCGTCTAGTCCGCGCTCGCAGACTAGTAAGCTGACGGTCTTGCTGGGGATTTTTGACCCGGACGTCCTGTGCCGGCGTGTGCTATCTTTGGAAACTGCATGGAATGTTGCCGTCTCAGGCGTGTCCTATTTTCATCACGGCCGCCCAGTAGAGAAGTTGCAGAATGAAAAGTACAAACGCGTGATGCAGCATGATGCAATAGGCTTGATAACAGGGCAACCGACGAGCATCGCGGCATGATGGTATAAAAAGCATGCAAGAGAATACTTGGTGAAGGATGCGGCTGTAATACCCGTATCCAGGCCGAGATGCAGTGCAACGCTGCGCCACGGGACGTCAATGGGTGTCACTGGTGTGTCTATCAATTTGTCTGCCATTTATCCGCTGGTCGACGCCATTGGACCGGCGCCCTTCTCCATGAGCGTCCCAAGACTCCAAGCCACCAACAAGCGAACAAGAACCTGCTGGATCTTCGTAAAACATCATGCCCCCCCCCCCCCCCCCCCCCC